GATATCATTTGTTGTATTTTCCTGTAAAAATAATGGAGTTCATTTGGAATTATTCAGCTTTTATGAGCAAGCAGAAACTAATGCGCAAACGCAGACGTGATGATATTCATGAACCAGGGATGGAAATTAACTTTTTTGTCCACCGGCCACTGTGGCTGGTGGATTTCAAAATCTACCAGCTACTCAATGTTTTTACCAGCCACTTTCTTGTTTTTAACCGACAATGTGTAACTGCATGTGAAAATTAATACTACAAGAATACTTAAAGATGAACTGAACTGAAATTTGAAAAACGGTGACATAACAGATCTATTTTATTTATTATCATTGGTACAATTATTAAACTGGCAGAATTTGTCAAAAGGGATAAAACTGTACGTTGAAAATGTTGTTTTTGTTACACGGGCGCCGCCATGTTGGATTTCAACATTCGGCTACGTCACTGGCATGGTAGGCTACTCCGTTGCCAACCAACACCAGCAGAGCAGCCATAGCATGTAAATAGTGTGAGGCTAGCTGACATGGCTGGGGAAACAGAAACCAACAGGTCTAGGGGGGGTTCATACTGTATTGCCCCTGGCTGTAGTAATGAATTGTATAGGGCTAAGGCAGCTGGGGTTACGATACATTTTCACAGGCTACCTTTGACAAGGAAACCAGCCCTCAAGTCAAGGCTAACGTTAGCTTCCTTAAAACTGTCTAGCCCCTCCGACAGCCCCTGGATTTCGAGTCTGCAGTGAGCATTTTTTAGTGACAGACTATTTAGTAGGCCTGTCGCGATAATCAATAAATAAATTAATCGCACGACAAAAAAAATTAGCTCGATAATTTTTCCGGCCGAGAAATTTCTATTTGCATGCTTGTTTGTTTTCCTCGTCTCTCTCTCTCTCTCTCTCTCTCTAGCAAAGAGACTGGATGACAACTCTCGGTTCCTTAGCGTAGGAAGAGTGAACTAGAGCTTATTCTGCCCGAGCCCGAGCGATATTTCCCGACACTATCCTTGAGACGTGCACTCCCAACGCAATAGAGTGCGGCCGCGCGGGACTAGATCTGATGGCCGAGACTCCGAGCGCGGGCGCGGGTGGTAATGCACTCACTCTGTGTGTGCGGGTTATAAATAAAACGATTCGCGGGACTCACGTGAACTAGAAATATCTATGAATAAAACATAAAAACTAATAGATTTTTATTCATCTGTTGCAGAAAAGCAACAAGAACAACTAAAACAAAATATAAACGATTTACAGGCCAGAGTTTCTATTCATAACAACGCTATAACATCGCGTTAAATGATGTAGCCAATCACAGTTATATGTGTTGCTTCTGATTGGCCATTGCGTTCAAGAAATCATTTAAGATAGACTCCCTTTTTGGTATTTATTCAAGTGTATTTTTTGTAACAGAGACTGTTCTCTGCAACAGATTGACTCCGGTGCAGTGTCCATGCTCCGGCAGCTCACACACCCACACCAGTCACTTCGCCCCAAACGATCCTGTGCTGTAGGCTATGTGGAGCCTGAAACTGATCCTCCATGTGGTGGTGGTAGTCAGAAACTACTGGACTGTCCCTCACAGGTTCAAATGCGTAACCCATGCCGTTAAAAGTGCTCATTTACGTCTGTGTATTAGGACCTGCAGCTGTTGCCTATGCACCTCTGCGTGTCCTACCATGCCAGTGACGTCATCGAAACTGCCAGCGTAACAAGCGCAATTTTTGTGTTGCTCAAAAAAAGCTATATTGATATTTTTAATAATTTTTTTTAGTGTAATTTACTTTTAATTGTCATAAACAACACGTTATCAACGTCGATTTTTTTCAGTTCAGTTCATCTTTAAGCAGTTTATTTAATCTCAAGTCTCAATGAAATACTGACATTTTCTCTTTCTCTCACCCTCGGCCTCATCCACCTAATCTGTCATTTATTTTTGTTTTGATGATAATTTGAGCCAGCCTCCAAAAGTAATTAACCCTCTGGGGTCCTTCATTTCAGGGTCACACTCAGGGTCTTCGGGACCAAATGGTCCGGAAGGGTTTGATTCATATTTATTAAAAGAAAATCATATATATATTTTTTTACTTGTTTTTTATAAATTTTTTTCTTTTATTTTTTGGTGTTTTGAGAAAATTTTATGATTTATAATTAATATTTATGCAATAATTATGACCCATTTTTTCCCATTGAATATAATATAATTTTTTTATAAATATTTTTTTTTTTTTTTTTTTTTTTTTAAAGCTGTATTTCATTTTAGAGTCAAGCCTAGGCCTCATGAAAACAATTTTTGAAATGAGATGGATGCCATCTGCTGGACACACTGAGCATTTTTATCACGCAATAGCACATTTTTACCACTAGTGGATTTACAGCTCTCTGTAGAAAGGGTTCAGAATTCTTGTGAGTTTTGCACATCTTTGACAATTTTTTTCAGGTTGTTGATTTTAAAATATAATAACAGATTCTCAAAGACTATTTTTGTCTTGTTTTTTGTTTGTTTGTTTGGTTTAAATGGTAATTTGAAGTGCCAGTTTTACTTTATAATACAGATTATTATAAATATATAATACAGTGTGTGTGTGTGTGTATGTGTGTGTGTCTGTTTTGCACTCTTGATGTTTTAGAGATTCACCCCTTCACTGTTGAGTCCTTTTTTCTGCATCCTGGCTGATTTGTAGATTGTATGCAAAAAAAAAAAACTCTGACAATTTCCCATTCATTTCCTATGGGGGTCATTTTTGACCAAAGAGCAGAAGTGTGACGACCACTTAGCATGCTTGGATCATGACCTCAATATTTTTTGTTTGTTCACATACCTAATACCATAAAAGTCACCTAGTTTCGTAACATTCCGATGAAGCTGTGATTTTTAAAAATTCAAAACATATTTATGTAATCTGAATTTATTAGTGTGTTTGTGTATAAAAGTGTGTGTGTGTGTGTGTGTGTGTGTGTGGATGTGTCTGTTTTGCACTCTTGATGTTTTATAGATTCACCCCTTCACTGTTGTGTGCTTTTTTTCTGGATCGTGGCTGATTTGTTGATTGTACGCACAAAACAACTCTGTATTGTCACATTTTTGTCAATTTCCCATTCATTTCCTATGGCGGGTCCATTTGGACCCGAAGACCCTGAGTGTGACCATTTTTTTTACAACCACTTAGACTATTCAAATCCTGTCCCCAATTTTTTTGGGTGTTCATATACCAAGTACCAACAAAGTCACCAAATTTCGGACCATTCCGATGAAGCTATGATTTTACACATTTTTTTATTTAAATTCTTCGGGTCCATTTGGTCCGAAGAACCCCAGAGGGTTAACCTGTCCTGTGATTTTTTTTCTCTCTCACACAACACTCTCCAGACACGGATTTATGAGCTATAGTATGTTGGTTGCCTTTACATTAGAATAATATTTAATATAATCTAGATATGAAATGGAATAAATAGCATTCAATACAAAATGAATATGTCTCATATATTGAAATCAAGTTTTATGTGATAAAATATTTGCTTTGTTGTGCATTAGAACCACATCAGGCATTTAGTGCAAAATAATTTATTGAAGCATCCAGATACTTCACCACGTGACAGCAGCTAGGCTCCTGATTGGTTAACGCGGCGCGAATTGACGCTAAAGTTCAGATTTTTCAACTCGGGCGGCAGACGCGAATTCGCGTCAAACGCGTGAATGCACAAAAGCACTCAATAAAATCATGCGCGCGGAACGCGTCAGACGCTCGAACTTGCCGCGCGAATGAGGCGTATTCGCATCTACCACAGCGCGCTCTACACCTCATTCGCGCCGCAGGAATTTTTTACGCGCGTAACGCGTCTTTGCATTGACTTAACAATGAAATCACTCGCGCCAGACGCTCTATTCTCGTCTGGTGTGAACGCACCATGATGTTTTCTCTGCAGACCTCTACGCCTGCGATGTAACGCCACATTTTTGTTTGAAGGTGTGCCTCCTCTAAAAGTGTCCGCCGTCCGGGTGAAACAGTATGCTATTTTTATTTACCCGCCACGGTGGCCGGTAGGTGAAGCGAGTTTACCCGCCACAACACAAAATCACCCCCATTTGGCTGGTGGCGGGTGCTAATTTCCATCCCTGTCATGAACCCAGCAGCTCATCAATCCTTAGTGCGGTTTATATTGTTATTAGTATCAGAATTCTTAGTAGTATTAGTAGCTATAACTATTCGTTGTTAGTTTTTTTACATTTCAAACTTGTAAATGATTTGAACTGTGTGATGTTTTTCAGTATGGTTGCACTATTTAAACATTATCTGCACTTTTACAGAAGAAACGTATATGCAACTTTTCCATTTCTGCAAGGGATGGTGTTTGGATTTGTCCTGTTTTTTTTAATTATTTTATGTATGGTAATTGGTATTTTATAGGAGCCTATTTGATATAGGGTACATTTTACTTTGCCTGCAGCTATCACTTGTAGCCAACAACAGTGGTGAATATGGTATTATATTTATATCATCATCGCAATAAATGCCAGAAAATATCGTGATATATTTTTAAGTCCATGTCGCCCATCCCTAGAGACTAATCAAAGAGTAACCTGATAGAAAAATATTTATTTAATGTTATCCGTGTTATATTTCATCTGCAATAACAATGTTAACACTTTTAAATGCATCATTATGCATTAATATGAGGAGAGTTTCTGCATTAAAGACCCGCGACTGCAGATCAACGTGATTCTGCATTTCTCTCCGATACGATGGGAAATGAAATGTGACAAGATGATTGACAGGTCAGTTTACCGTGTCAGGATGAGACAGAGAGAAACCGTTACAGACGCAATTGTATGACGTGATAGTTTGTCTCAAAGCTTGTCTACTCTTCTGATACACACTCAAAAGTATGCACGTTTTCCTTCACAGAAAGAGTACACTTTTAGGGCGTAGTATAAGTGGTCGAATTGAGACGCAGCATCAGTCTTTCAGGTTTCATTAATCTCAGTAAACTCTGTTGCGCCCCCTGCAGGAGAAAGAGAAGAAGTACATGCTGCAGGTGGACAATCTGAAGCTCAGAGATGTGGAGAAGGGCTTCATGTCCAGCAAACACATCTTTGCCCTGTTCAACACTGAGCAAAGGTCAGAGGTCATCCAGCACAACATGAAAAATGGTCTTACACAATCTGCTTAATTTTTGTAATGTGATGTTTAGCTCCTCTTTTTTAATCACCTTTTTTTATATAGCACATTTTAGTAATTATCATAAATTAGGTATGATTCGAAAGCTTACACACTCGAAATTCATCCAGTGAAAACGGTTTTAAATTTGGACGTTGCGTTACCATAGAAACGGTACTCTAAATTATTTTTGCGGGCTCATCCCTTATTGGGCAGTGTCAGGTTTCATAGTACTATATTTATTTGAACTACTTTACAATCAAAACCTTTTTTAATCTTGACAAAACACACATTGTCGGAAAAGTCTCCATATTTTGTGATAGCAGTGATATTTGGACAGAAATGCAGTAATTTCATACAGGAGAATGCATAAATAAATAAAAATCAACAGAATTTTGGTATTACGCCTAAACAAAATCTCATGTGAACTTCCATTTTTGTGATATCAACTTCAAACTTGGTTAGACATATGGCTTTGATTTTATAGTAATTTTAGAGTAAAACATATTTTGTAAAATACCTATTTTATATAAAATAAAAAATATTTAGTACAGTACATTTGGTGGCTTTTACTTCAGCAATAATCTGCTGAGTGTCTTTGAAACACGACCAAACTTGTATATTAAATAACAACCATTTAAGTTTGGATAGTGCAAATCCAATTTTAGCAGGTCGTTTTTAACCCCTTAACTGTCCCTTTTTGAGAATAGATGTGAAAATGCACTATCCAAACTTAAATGGTTGTAATTCAATATAATAGTTTGGTCGTGTTTCAAAGAAGACTCAGCAGATTATTGCTGAAGTGAAAGCCACCAAATGTATTGTACTAAATATTTTTTATTTTATATAAAATATATATATTTTACAAAATATGTTTTAAAATTACTATAAAATCAAATCCATATGTCTAACCAAGTTGTGTTTCAAATTTCCAAAGTTGCTATCACAAAAATGTAAGTTCACATGAGATTTTGTATAGGCGTAATACCAAGCAGATGCATTAGATGTTAAATGTGAAATCTTTGGCTTCTAAATGATCAACATGTTCAAAACTTTGCTGATAAACCTGTTGCACACAAAGTTTTGAACATGTTGATCATTTAGAAGCCAAAGATTTCACATTTAACATATACTGCATCTGCTTGGTTTTACGCCTAAACAAAATCTTACATTTTTGTGATATTAACTTCAAATTTGGAACACAACTTGTTTAGACATATGGCTTTGATTTTATAGTAAAACATATTTTTTAAAATAAATAATTTTTATAAAATAGTACAGTACAGTTTTTAATTTACAGTAAATTTATACTTCCACAACTTTTTCATACTTTAATTTTTTCTGCTGTAATAATCTGTAATAATCTGCTGAGTGTCTTCTTTCAAAAGCATTCTTGAATTACAACCATTTATGTTTGGATAGTGCATTTTCACGTCTGTAAGGGGGGGGGATTATAGTTGTTCAAACCCCGTAAGATTTTCGTTCATCTTCGGAACACAAATTAAGATATTTTTGATTAAATCTGAGAGCTGGATCACTCCTCCATAGGCTTCTTAAGGGATCGAAACTGGCCGGCCCAGAAAAGTTATTAAAGACATCGTTAAAATAGTCCGAGTGACTACAGTGGCTCAACCTTAAGTTTATCAAGCGACGAGAATACTTATTGTGCGCAAAAAAAACAAAAGTAACGACTTTATTCAACTATTCATTTCCTTCTCTGTGGGCCTCGAGTGAGTTCACGTAGTGTAATGGCGCTTTTCCATTACCAATACCAGCTCGACTCGACTCGACTCGCCTTGGCTCGCCTCGACTCGGCTCGCTTTTCGCTCCGTTTTCCATTGCAGAAAGTACCGCCACAAATAGTACCCGGTCGTCATAGCGACGCATTTCGTTCCTCGTTCCCCCATCAAGCTCTCGCTGGATCCTCTCTTCGGCAACCAAACAAAGGAATGTCTGCACCTCCTCGTTTGACCACGGCGTATTCTTCCGAGTTGCCATAATAATAGTAGTAAGTTTAGTAACTATCTCTGGCCAAACTATTTAAAAATGGCGGGGTTATTCTGGATACTCCATCTGGCGCGTGCAATGATGACGCAGATTCTCTGTGACCAATCAGCAGTCGGCATTGTTTTCACGTCACATTTTAGTATCGGCTTAGCTCGCCTCAGCTCGCTTAGAACCTCGCCGGAGGTGGTACGAAAAAAAGTACCCGAAAGCAGGTACAGGTACAACTTTTACACAGTGGAAAACCAAACAAAGGCGAGTCGAGTCGAGCCGAGCCGAGGCGAGCTGGTACTGTGTAGTGGAAAAGCGCCATAACAGCGCAACGCTACATCAGAACGTAGGCTCACTATTGGCCGACGCTGGTCATGTGTGTGATGCTGGCCAATAGTGAGCCTACGTTCTGACGTACGACACAGAAGCGCTGCGCTGTTACACTACGAGAACTCACTCGAGGCCCACAGAGAAGAAGATGAATAGTTGAATAAAGTGAATATTTTTGTTGTTTTTTAGCGCACAAAAAGGAGTGATCCAGCTCTCAGATTTAATCAAAAATATTTTAATTTGTGTTCCGAAGATGAACGAAAGTCTTACGGGGTTGAACAACATGAGGGCGAGTCATTACTGACAGAGTTTACATTTCTGGGTGAACTATCCCTTTAAGGGGTTAAAAACGACTAGCTAAAAAGCCTAAACTATCAATCAGAAGCCAAAGACTTCAGTGTTAACATGTAGTGCATCTGCTTGCGTGACAGGAACGTGTATAAGGACTACCGTCAGCTGGAGTTGGCCTGTGAGAGTCAGGAGGACGTGGACGGGTGGAAGGCGTCATTCCTGCGCGCCGGCGTTTACCCGGAGCGTGTGGTGGTTTGTGTTCATCTTTACTGCTTCTTTTTACAACAAAGGGACAAAAATCAAACTTGATTGAGGTCCGTGGGCCGAAAGTAAAATTAAATTAAATTCACAGTAAATTCAATTCACATTTATTTGTATAGCGCTTTTCACTATGCACATCGCTTTACAGAAAATGTCCATATTATAATTTACAGTGATCTGTTATCAGAGGAAACTGTCTAAGTTATGCATTTCAGAAATGTACATATACAAAATCACAGTTAGCTAAAAATGTATTAATTTAAACAATGTAATAATTAAAGGCAGAAACAATGAGCTCATTGAAGTGATGAATACTTGTTTGTTAACAAATGATTATGACATTTAGAAAAATGTAGTATTGGTTAGGGCTGGGGCGGTATGGATTTTTTCTAACCGCGGTTGAAAAGCAAGAAATTCCCGCGGTATAGCGGTAAACCGCTTTAAACACCCCCCCCCCCCCGACAGACTTCCGCGCACTCACCAGAAGGCGTTTTTTCTAGACAGACTTTGTTAAATATTTTCACCTACATCAGAAAAAAAACGAGCACAATTTAAAAGAGTCCGATTTTCATTAAGCTGTAATTTGGCATGAACCAATCACTGAATAGATTTCCTAATTTAAGAATATTCTCAGATACATTCGCATTGAATTCATCATTTTCAGGAGAATACATTATGATGTTGAACGAAATGAAAGATGAACAGCTTTTCCAACATGTCTTAATTACAAAAATTATATTCCATATTTATGTTAACATAATATAATGTTATTTTTTATTTAATCTATGTCGATTATATGAAAAGTGAACACCATAAGTAAGATAGGATCATAAGATGGGTCAGACATGATTTTGACCACTTTATTAAGTTTTGTTTTGTAGAAAGCCTTTCTTTAAATTAAATTTCGTTTTGTATAAATTGTATCTTAATTTTAATCACTGTTTCATTAACTAATTGCCTGGAATTATACAAATATAGCAGACATATAATCAGGACGATGTGGAAGCGACGGTGCGATCTCTTGCGCGTGAACTGGAGCTCGTCTCATAAATGAACCGAAACTCGTGCGCCCATCAGAGACGGACTTCACTGCTGATATTCTGAGGATACAACATAGCCAATAGGGATCTCCCAGTCACGTGACCCCTAGCCGCGCGTCAGCCATTTTGACGGAATACATCCGTCAGCTACTCAACGGCAATAGCCGTGGGTAATATATATTATTAGTATATTATTATACTAATGATATAATTATTTGTATATTATTATACTAATAATATAATTATTAGTATAATCATTTTATAATTAGCCTAAATATTGCAATACTTTGCGCTACAGTATTGATATTGCGTGTATAATATGGTGTAATAATATATTATTAGTATATTATTATACTAATAAAATAATTATTAATATAATTAGCCTAAATATTGCAATACGTATTTGCGTGCGCAAAATATCTCCATACTGAACAGAATCGATTTTTTCCCCCCACTATCTATTATTAGCGCAGCGGCCGTCAGACAACTCTTCACGTAATGTCATCGCACTTATTATTAGCATCACAAAAAGAAATATACAAGAGGAATATAAAGGAATTAGGAATCATAGATCCATGAAGCACCACAAGTTCTTTTTACAGGCATTAAATGTGTAGGAAAAACTTCCTGACATTGAGGTGATGGGAAATTCGGATCATTTTACTGACTCTCCTGTTCGAAGTCGTTCATCAAAATGAACGAATTTTTTTTCGAGTCATTTCGTTCATTCAAGTCAAGTGGCTTTAAACGTTATACTTCTAACCGCCAAATTCCCCGAACACATATCCACCTATTATTTAGCGTGTAGCCTAATACGCACGCACTCCCCATCCCTAATCCTACCCAAGAGATTACAGTGCGTAGCATATGCACACAACAAAAAAAACATTTTTGGCGTATAAATAGCACGATAAATTAAATTCGTGGTATAGATACGCATGTGCACGTTCATGAGATCGTGTTGGACAGACGCAATGAACGAATCGTTCATGAATGACAGCTACCTTATTCACTTACCATCACGCTACACCGGAGCTTCATTAAAAGCATACAAAAGCTATCGATATAACGAGTCCGGATGGGTCAGCAACTCTTTGATTTGGACGTCAGCGGGGAAGGATTTTTAAATCATCACCGCAAAGGTTGGTCAATGTATTTTTATCACCAAATTATAGTAACTTACCTGTAATAATTTTTAAACTGAGTTTACAGGGAAAAACACAAAACAAAATCACCAACAAGATTAAGTGTGTATCTTAAATGAATTTGTTGAATCTAGTTTGATCCAAGAAAAACTAAATAATACTTTTTTTATACTTGTAACGTTAACTAGGCTACCATGCAGTGACACTGTAGTATGATAAACTGTCATTGAGACTGTTGTCTCAACCTGTGTTTCTAACGATTTAAAGAAGTGTTAAATAAAATACAAGATCAGCTTTTGGTATTTGAAAATGATAGGAATATTTTGCGACGAGCTGTATTATCACCGGCGGTTTAGCATTTTCTATACCGTCAAGATGGCTGCTCCAAATGGCGTGACGTCACGCGGGACGACCCTATAGGCTATACTAGTAGGGACTTTAGCCTTTAAATATCTGTGCTGCATGCGCAGTCTCCTTTCTAGAACAGCCAAGAGCTTTCTAGCCTCGCGGCAGCAGCGCCTTGCATCGCTCATAGACCTTAAAACTGATTAAAAAAATCAAAAAAACGAAAATTGATCAAAAAACGTTGGTGCGGATGGTTGGCGGACAGATGATGCGTTTTGTGCTGCGGTTCCATTGCGGATGAAATAATAATAGCCCATCCGCGCATCTCTAATACGAATGTAATGCTATGTGTCATGGAACATTGCGCTCCCCAACTCGCGAAAGGGATTTGCTCCATCTTTTGATAAGTTTTGTTTAGAAAACCTTGAATCCATGTAAGACACACTATCATTAGAAATAATCCATGTCATTAGAATCAATGAATCCATATCATTAGACACAACGTGCACACATGTGCAGGCCAATGTTTTGTTTTTTGCGGTGATGACGGTGACGAGCTCAGACCCGCGGTTGGAGTCACGTGACCGCGGTATTGCGGTAATGCGGTAACCGTCCCAGCCCTAGTATTGGTGCATGTTGATAGTTATATCGAACTAGGGGTGTGCGATATCACGGTTTTTGATCGTGGACGATTAAAATGTCTCCACGATCTGCTTTTGAAGAAATATCGTAGTATCGTGCATTTTATCAGTTCCAGTTCTGGCGCCGAGCTCCGTCTCAACATACAACAAATGTTAACGCAGAGGAACGGGACACTGCAGTTCACAGAAGTTCATTATTTGCATGTGCTTTAAAGCCTTGCTGGTTAAACATAATTCACTGCTGATGCGCTGTTCTGATGTGTGCTTTCTGAGCGCATACACCCGAAGCACACGGGCACTAAAAGCCTGTCTAACAGCGTCTGTTTACTGGACTACGTTATAAGTTATTTTCGAGTCTTATTGCGCTAATATTGTCAAATACACACAAGGTTTACATAAACAAAGTTGGTTATGTCTAAAGTGAAAGCAAACAGAAAAAAATTAGGAAATCGGCTTGTCAAATGCGTGTATATTAGACGCGTCGCGTGCAGCTCTTAAAGCGACAGTAGCCAGTTAGTAATCAAGCTGCCTCTTGTCCTTAAAGAGATAGTTCACCCAAAAATAAAAATTCTGTCATTATTTACTCACTCTAATGTTGTTCCAAACCTGTATTAATTTCTTTCTTCTGTTGAAAATAAAAGTTATTTGGAAGAATGTGGCTAACCAAACAGTTGCTGGTCCCCATTGACTTCCATAGTAGGAAAACATATACTATGGAAGTCACTGGAGTACAGCAACTGTTTGGTTAGCCACATTCTTCCAAATAACTTTTATTTTCAACAGAAGAAAGAAACTTATTCGGGTTTAAAACAACTTGAGAGAGTAAATGACAAAAATTATAATGTTTGGGAGAACTATCCCTTTAATGTTAATAAAACAACAAAACACAGAGGAAATCACTCACTGCTCTTGACTGAGAACTTTAGTAGTAGCTTTAATAATAATCAATGTATAATTTATACAGTGAAGTCTATGTTGTGTTTTATTTTCGTATTTGTTCATTTAGCCTAATTACTTTCTTCAGTGCTACTGTTAAATACCCCTACTGTAGCTGAAAAAATAAAGCACTGTTTATTTCATTTGTATATTAAGTTGTGTAGGCTTAATGTGTATCTTTGTTCCTAATTCTTAATAACAAAGAAAATAATGATAAAGATTTTTATCTTCGCCACTTTGGCCTAAATGTCTGCCATTCTTTTTTCTTTTGTTACCTATAAGGCTTTTTTTTAAATAGGGACATTAGTTTGGCTGTAATGCTCAGTCACTTGCAAAATAGTAAAACCAACATGAAAAAGAATCGTGATAAAATCGTTAATCGTGATTTTCCTGAAAAAAATCGTGATATGATATTTTTGCCATATCGCCCACCCCTATATCGAACTTATATATTTAAATGTAATATGGTTAGCCTTGGTTCCCCTGATTTATGATTTCATAATTTTAAAATTATTAAGCAATCTGCTTAACTAATCCAGAGTTTTATTTTTAAAGTTTCAGTGTTAATTTTGCGTGAAAAGATTGTTTGTATTTAAATAAGTCAAGCAATTTTCATGTACCTCTTCATAAATATGGCTGTTTTCAAGGGTTTTGACTTAATTTCAAAAAGTAAAATTCAAGTACTTTAAGCACATTTGTACAAACCCTGATCAAAGGGCCCTAGTTTGGGCATCTGTGATCTACAGTAGGGCTGTCACTTTACATTAGAAAATCTATTGCACAATTGATCGGACCAACCAACACAAGTTTCACAAATGAAAATAGGGAATCGATTTTAACAGCTTTTTATTTTATTTTTTACCAAAAATGTGTTTTAGGTGGACAGATCAATCTAGGACACAGAACATGTAGGATGCTGGAAAATAACAATGTCTTTTCTGTTAACCAAATGCTTTTTAATATTCGCTTTTACTTGAGTGCAAGTGAACAAGCGCGCCGTTATTTGTAGCGTAGTGACGTGTGTGTGTGTGTGTGTGTGTGTGTTCAAGTGAGCCAGAAATTAGCAGATTCTGAGCAATACGCTGTATTTAATATATCATGAGGATCACGAGTTGTCTATTTGCGCTAAATCCGTCTCACACGAACTTCCCCAGCAAAGTGAGTAAACACAGAAACACGCCAGATTGGCTCGTGATTTGACAGCGTTTCCCGAAGTTCAAAGTTCATTTTTACCCACATCTGGCGAGTCGAGGTGTTAATCTCAATCCCTGAATGTTGCGCTCCTGTTTGTCATTGTGCAGAAACTTCACGCTAATAAATCAGAAATATTGCTGACTTGTGCGTCTCAAGCGTCCTCTTTACGCTCGTCCTAACGCCTGTTAGGTGTCCGTGGATTTGCCTGTATTTGGTGTTGAAAATGGAAACGTCTTTAGACATGGAAAATCGATTCAATGAACACTTATGTCTTGGATTTTTTCACAAAAGTGACAGCCCTACTCTACAGGATAAATGAAGATGTGCTTTTCTCTCTCTCTCACGCTGCTTCCGGTTGCATCACACTAGGAGAAGGAAAAGGTACATGCATTTGATATTATTTCTGTATCTTTTGCATTTGCGTTGTGCATTTTCCCCAGATCTGTGATTGTGTGTGTAGAGCGACGCCGGGGAAGAGAACGGTTCGGACGGGTTCATGCACTCCTTGGACCCTCAGCTGGAGCGGCAAGTGGAGACCATCCGAAACCTGGTGGACTCGTACATGAGCATCGTCAACAAGACTGTACGAGACCTGATGCCCAAGACCATCATGCATCTGATGATTAACAACGTAAGGCTCGTCTATGTTGAGCAGAAGCGCTCATGATGTTGGTCTATGGTAGCCTAGTGGTTACATATCATGAGTGTCAAATAGGGCTGGGAATTGGCAAAAATGTGACGATTCGATAGTATTGCGATATTTGGGCCACGATTCAATATAATTGCAATTCTTAACATATTGCGATACAGCAAGTATTGCGATTCGATTCTGTGATATATTGCGATTCATGTCCCCCATATTATTCAAAGGCATTACAAACAATGAGGAAAATAAGACTGCTCAGTGTTTCCCCTAGGATTTTTTTCAGGGGGGGGGGGGGGACTGCTAGTGTTGCAAAATGTTTTAGCAATCAAAAAGCATGTCTAATTAATTGAAATAGTGTATTATGAATCATTAAACGTATACAACATTGAAAAAAAAATATGAAAAAAAATTTCACACTAATTCTGTGTTGTGTTTTCTGGTAATAAAATGAAGACATAAAACACAAATTTGATAATTTATCATCAATTTTAATCATATGAAATTAAATAAACTTTTTGTCAAATAACGTGCTGCACAATGAGCTTTACTGTTAAAATTAAAACATGGATTAGTCCTAAAAAATTCAGTTTTGATGATAATTTATTTGGATTAGTGTTAGTATTATTACATTGGGACATATCTAAATTCTACTGTACAACGGTAATATATTTCTGTCAAGTTAAACCGAACTTTTATTTTGACGGGTTGCCGTGAAGACCTTTTGAGTTTGTGTGTTTATGTCATAATGATAGTTTTTCTCAAATGAAGCGGTTAAATGATCACGAAGTGACTTTCGGAGTGGATCTAGAGCCTGGAGAGGAAGTTTCTGCATTTGTGTCTTCAGATAGGCCAAAAAAACAGCGCAAGCGTCACACGTGCTTCAGTGTGTGTGTGTGTGTGTGTGGTAAATGAAACTGCGCGTCGGCTGCACCATTCATTCACACAGAACAAGCAGGATTCGTATTTAAATTGTCTTTGTGGTTTAATATCCACACACACTTGTCTACATCGCGATTTGATTTCAAGTGTACACTGAACTGCTTTCTATTTATTCCTCAAAAGATTGACAAATTCCAAGAAATTCCGCGTTATACAGTAAATTTATTTTTTATGACTGGATTTCGTCAGCAATTTAGGGGGGCGGGGGGTCGTTTTGCAATGGTAGGGGAAACACTGCTGCTCAACTCACTTCAAATGTCACATTTAATTCTGTGAACGTTATCTTCTACACATTAACTGAAGTGCAAAAACTGTGATGGTGAAGCCATTTTCATTTGAATCTGCTGTTGAACGCACGACAACAAAGCGCCGCAACAAGCGCCACCTTGTGGATGTAATACGCAAATGTAAATTATCAGAGTAAACCCCGAGAAAACCAATGGAGAAAACCCGAAAGTAAAACAGATAACTTTAGAATTAAATATTGCAATACTTTGCGCTACTGTATCGATATAATCGCGTGCGCAAAATATCGCGATACTGAACAGAATCGGTTTTTTCCCCCCACCACTAATATCAAATATGATCCATCAGGCTTTTGATGAAGGTTTATTTGTTAGGGATGCACGATATATCGGCCACCATATCGGTATCAGCCGATATACATGTTAATTTTTTATGTTATTGTTATCTGCCCGATAAGAAAAATATTATAAAGTCGATTAATAATGGATTATTTCACCTTCGCTCTCTTCCATTGGTGAGAATTGAAGCCGCCAGTGTCCCGATATGGCGCTGACATCTCGGGACCTGAGTCTGCGCAGGAAGTAAAGCCGTGAAATCAAGGCCCCGCCCTCGCTCTCGCAGAATCAAATCGGAAGCACACGCTCCTGCACTTTTTAAAATTAATTAGCCTATAGAAATGTAGATATTACATTTAAAGCTCCAATCTCCTCAGTCCTCCGAAGATCCCGAAAAAAAGTCTGTTGGTGCTTCAGTGACTACTACGCTCAGAGAACCTGTCAATCACAGCTGTCAATCATGACGTCACCTCCACCGCATCAAATAACTAACTAAAAACAAACTTATTTAAAAAAAAAAAAAAACACCTGAACTTACATCAGCGTGATAAAAACTACAGTAAATGACAGAAACATGACAGGAGCTGCACCAAATTGCAAATTGTTCAAGTCTCTGAATAAAATTGAGCTGCCCCCCCTCCCATATTCTCACTTTATGATCCATAAAAGCCTGATATATCAAGTAGGCTATGATACACTTCTTTTTTTTTTTTGTCTAAAGGTTTACAAAACGGTTACATTTAGAAAAAAAAAGATTTCTATATTTCAGGCTTTACAGGGTTAAAAGCCTGAAACACGGCTCACACTATGATACTATGATGTGTGTGTGTGTGTGTCAGACGAAGGAGTTCATCAACGCGGAGCTGGTTTTCGTGGTTTTAAAAGGCTGAAACACGGCTCACACTATGATCCACACTATACTAAAAAAACACTGATATTAATATCCCCTCTCTCTCTCAGACGAAGGAGTTCATCAACGCGGAGCTGTTGGCTCAGCTGTACTCGTGTGGAGACCAGAACACCCTGATGGAGGAGTCTGCGGACCAGGCGCAGCACCGGGACGAGATGCTCCGCATGTATCACGCTCTGAAAGAAGCGCTCCTGATCATCGGGGACATCAGCACCACCACCGTCACCACCGCCCTGCCTCCACCCGTGGACGACTCCTGGCTGCAGGTGCAGCGCTCCGGCTCCGGGGGAAGGTGCGTTCGGGAGACACACAGGGGTTATTAATCCATGAGGAAATTACGTCTTTAGTGGGGAATGAAAGTCTCGGGCATTCAGTGGGTCTTTAGCTACACTGCCGTTCAAAAGTGTGGGATCTGTACGATTTGTGTCTCTAATTATGCTCACCAAGGCTGCATTTATTTAAATTTTGAATTGTAATTATTTATTAAAAATGATAAAAATGTATAATAAATATAACAAAAAAAACTAATATTGTGACTTTTTGAGCAATCTTGCAGAGCGATTATTGCTTGGGGACTTTCCCATTGAAAAAGGGCAATAAATAAAATAAAATAAAATTAAATCACCTTTATACACACCAAGGCTGCATTTTTTTATTTTTTATTTTATTTACATTTTTAGTTGTAATTAAAATGATTTATTTTGTATATATTAATACAACCCAAAAAAAGTAATATTGTGAAATATTATTACAATTTAAAATAATTGTTTTTCATTATAATTATATTTATTTAATTTTTTCGTCTTTAGTGGGGGATGAAAATATGTCATTAGCTATGCACATTAACTGCTGTTCAGAAGTTTGGGATTGGTACGATTTTTACTGTTTTTAAAAGAAGACTTTATTTGCGTTTATTTGATTAAAAATAAATAATATTTTTAAATATTACAATTTAAAATAACTTTTCTATGTGAATATATTAAAAATACCAAAAAAGTCTTCAGTGTCACATGATCCTTCATTATTATTAATTATTATTATCAGTGTTGAAAACAGTTATGTATATTTTTATTTCAGGATTCTTTGATGAATAGAAAGTTCAAAGAGCTGCATTTATCTGAAATAGAAGCTTTTGTAACATTAAACAATACCGTTCAAAAGTTTGTGGTCAGTAAGAATTTTTTTAAAGAAATTAATACTTTTATTCAGCAAGGATGCAATAAATTGATCAAAAGTGACAGTAAAGACATTTATAATGTTACAAAAGATTCTATTTCAAGTAAATGCTGTTCTTTTGAACTTTATTTTCATCAAAGAATCCTGGAAAAAAATTGTAAACAAACCGTTTTCAACATTGGTAATATTCATAAATGTTTCTTGATCATCAGGGCCCATATGCAGGGCCGGCCCATGGCATAGGCGGTATAGGCAAATGCTAAGGGCGCCACCACTCAATAGGGGCGCCAAAATGAGTGAACGAGTGAATTTTTTTTTTTTTTTACTAATACTATTTTAAAACCATTAATTCGAAATACTACAAAATAAAGCAAAACAACTCCACAAAAACTTAACTAAGTCCCCCGACTCCGGTCCGGCGCATCAATCTTCCCCCGCCCAGCGAGTGCTTGAAGTGCGTCAGAAACAGAGCGCGCGCGATCAGTTTACTGTTGGTCATTTGTTGTGTAGCGTCGCCCCTCGCCGCATCCAATGTAGACAGCATTGCTTTCGTTTGAGGGCGCTAAACACACTCAAGCATTGCCCAGGCCTGGCAGCTCGCGCCAGCTCGAGACACGGTGAAAGTTTCCTCATTGTGACGGATGGCCGAATTTTCATTTAAATTAGCATTGTAGCCTGCGATAGATACAGTGCCAAAAAGAAGAGGACACAACAAGGGGATAAAGACAGAGGTAAAGTGATGTAATGAATGAACAGTTTATCTAATTGCATAGTAGTAAGATACTATAATTTAATGGCAGTTATTTTTACCTTATAACTTTATGCTAACAGTAGTTCTGAGTTCTTCAGAGCCCCCAGACAATGCGATTTAACAATCATGTCAGTCTTATTTAGACGCATTTACTATCACTTTTATTATTTAATGTTTTACTATAAAGTTGTGCAGTTTTAAGGGGGATATATGGCATTTTTTTTACATTTATTTGCCAAAATTATTAACGATATTTATAGGCTACAGGTTTATTATGTTTTATGTGTAAAATTCACATTAAAGAAGACATTTCGCAGTTTCATTCATGTTGAAACACGAACCGTTCCATAATTTAGTGGAAGATTGCTGCCATCAACTCCCAAACAAACACTTTTGCTAGTGCTCAATGAATAGTTTGTGCATGAATGACATTTGGACGATGACATCACTGTTTTATCCAGAGCGGCTATATATAAATTAATATTTTTTTACAACAAAATAAACCATCACTGAACATACTTAAGCTTGATTATGACACTATTTTCTTCTAGATCTGGTGTACAGGAGAAGCAAACTTTGTTGCATTATTTTCCTGTTATCACTGTAACGCTGCCTTGAAATAATCTGTATTGTAGGCTAAAAAGCGCCATATAAAAATAAAGGGGACTTGACTTGAATGCTAGATGTAATGCTCTTGCTATATATATATATATATATATATATATATATATATATATATATATGACTAAATAATCACCAACACAATGATGGGGTGAAATGGGCTGTAATGCATGGGGCACCAGGTAAAATCTTGCCTAGGGCAGCAAATTGGTCAGGGCCGGCCCTGCCCATATGTATAAAGCCACTCAGAGTAAAATTGTAGTCTCAAGTAGTGTTGCACGGTGCACCGATACTTCAAAAGTATCGCGATACTCGGAAATTAAAAACTTCACGATACCTAAATTTATTAGTATCGATACTTCTAAGAATGACCGCGTTCCAGATTTGTAAGAGAGTATTGCATGTTGGTGTGTGCAACGCACGCTTCCAGTGCCTCCCTATGGACGTCTGTGTTTTTCTCCTCATGCGCGTGTGACAGGGCGCGTGAACTGAACGAGCAGAGAGAGAGAGAGAGAGAGAGAGAGAGAGAGAGAGAGAGAGAGAGAGAGAGAGAGAGAGAGAGAGAGAGTGAGCGAGCCCCGGTCGCGCGCGCGCACTCTCTCTCTCTCTCTGCGGAGCCAGGCGAAAGTATAAACAAGGCTTCACCGTCTCAAAACTAAGCGCTGTCTTGCTCTCTCTCTCTCCCTCGCACATATTAATCAAAATAATTCGACACGATGGTAAGGTCGGGAGACTAAAGTTTCATGTGGAGCATTCGGAGCTTTTTTTTTTTTTTTTCTGAATTACCGCTGGGTGTAAATTGTGGTAAAATACGTTGCCTTATCTTCTCTGAATCGTTCCGCACATTCAGCTGACATAAACCACACTTTAAATAAACGAAAAAAACTATCCAGTCATGAAATGTTTTCTGTGATGACAGTGGGATGTCCTAACCGCCTGGATAATCACACAACGCGCACACGTCCGATAATGACACGTCCAATTCGCGAACTAATGACTCATTTGAACCGATTCGTTTTAATGAATGGTTAAAACAACTGATCTGTCTGAATCGGTGTATAACTAATCGTTAACACTTTGTAATAAGGTTTCATTTATTACATAAATTACATAAAACAAATAAAAACACTTGTTTTTTCCCCCCGAAAAAGCATATGACTACTTTTTTCCACACAATGCTATCATGAATCGATAAGAGAATCGTTAAAGAATCGGATCGATAAGCAGAATCGTCAGTGGCATTGATATTGATAAAATCTTATGTTTCTTATGATAACTGAGATAATGCTGCTAAATTTATTTATTTTTTTACCTTGAATGTCATTGCTCTAATTTATTTTTTATATTTTTCATATTTCATATTTTGTTCAAATGGTTATTATAGCCTATCTGCTGTTCAAATGTTCATTTATTAGTGTGTTATGATTGGAATGTTGTCCCAGTTTTAAAATAAAGCACAGCAATGATATTTGAGAGTGTTTCTCCCTTTTCAGGAAAAGTATCGAAAAAGTATCGAAATCGCAATTCTTGACTTGGTATCGGTATCGAAACAATAATTTTGGTATCGTGACAACACTAGTCTCAAGTCTGTCAAAATTCTAAGAATTACCTAATTTTACTCTTATTCCTAAACTTAAGAATAAGTGTGATTCATAAATCTGGAGAGGTCTCCTAACCTAGTTAGGAGTAACAAGATGGCAGCAGAGAGGTTAACGATATCAACGAAAATATGATGTATTGTAGTTAAATGAGTTGATCAAACAATAAAAAAGAAAAAGTTTAATCATCAAGGTATTCTTTTTGTAACTTACCTTTAAAAAGTTTCATAGCAATGAAATTAAAGTAATAATTATATTTTTGGCGACTGGAGAAATGCAGCAGTGCACCTGTGATGATATATTTATTTTAATGGCTGGTGAGCCAAAGACAATTTTCCACCTTGGTGGACAATAAAGATATTACAATTAAAAAGCTCACAGGAGAAAAACAATCATATATTGTCTGCAACATAATCATTTATTAATATTTGAATTTCCTCTCTTGTTTTTTCACCAGTTCATAATTTATTTGTATGACAGCTTGGCTAAAAATTATGTCAATTTGGAATGTTTCATTGTGTTATCACAAATAAACAATTGACTCCAGGCACAACTACACAATACGCTTACAAAATATTGAACAAATTTTAATACTATTGGGTGAATCTGACAATTTTCCTTCAATACTAATTTGTGATAATTTTGCACAATGCAAAGCCATTTAAAAAAATACATTTAAATATTAAAGTTTCAGTGTCTTAATTAAATTATTTTATTATAATTGCGTTAAATAATTGGTGTCATGGTGCTGTGACCTCACCCTTGCAGGCTCACTATTGGCTGATTCAGAGGGTGAGGGCGGCCATTTTGGGTTCACATCATTGTAGTCCTTAGTTTGCAGCACTTAAGTCCCACTTCAGTCAGCACTTAAGAATCAGTCTTATACTTTACTGAAAGTTGCTTTTAGCTGCTTTATAAAAGTCTCCTACTCTTAGAAAAGTCCTACTCTTTACTAAGTATTTTTTTACACTTAAGTCAAAGCTTAAGACTATTCTTAAGATCATTTCTTAGAAGTTTTATACATTCGGGCCCAGATCCTCATATTAGAGTGATTTCTGAAGGATCATGTGACACTGAAGACTGGAGTAATGATGCTGAAAATTCAGCTTTGATCACAGGAATAAATCACACTTTACTAGCCTATATATTATTTACACAGAAAAAAGTTATTTTAAATTGTAATAATATTTAACAATATTACAGTTTTTTGTTGTTGTTGTATTTTTAATAAAATAAATGCAGCCATGGTGACCAGAATAGACAAAAACATTAAATATCCATCCACCTATTTTTACGTGCATTTTGGGATATCACATAAAAAAATGCTGGAAGGAAACACCAAGATGCTCATAAATTCCAAAAATGTGATAAAAAAGTGTGTGCGCTTAATTGAGGATCATTTTTTTATCCGGAGAAGACGACGTGCGCATATTATATAATCTATCATAGTGAATTTGCATGATTTTACTGATCCTATTTGGGTTAATGGTGGGCTCATTAATATTAGAGGACAGCTCAGAACGGCCCAGAACTCTTTAATATTCATGAGCTAAGCCTCACTTCAGTTCAAAACAAAATGACATCCAATAATGCACCACTAATGCTCAGTTACAGACTGGAACAGTAGTGCCACCTTCTGGAGGATGTCAAATTAACTTCTTGGCCACCACAGAATCCTTAGAGATGAGGACATTACATGTTTGTCTCTCTAGATTCCATGCCGGCAAATAATCATGACCACCCGACATTAATCATATAAATAATTTTAATAGCACGGCCATTCAAAACCAGGGTCTACCATGTGCATAGTAAAACGATCACCGAAAATAATTTTAGGCGGGAATTAATGTAAACACAGATATCGGATACCAGTCCTGTCTGAAGTGAATGTAAACATGCGGGACAAAAGATCAGATCCGCACTTTTATCCTCTAACTAACATCAAGTATTGCCTTCAGAATTTGAATATAATTCGAATTTTGTGAATATTCAAGAAAAAAATTCAAATGTGTTTTTTTTTTGTATGTAAAATCACTTTTGTAAATTTAATTCGATGCGGACATGCAGACCCAAACATGGTATTTTTATGCTTTAATAGAGTGAAAAAGTTACATACAGCATCTTTAAATATTGCCTTTAGAATTAAAATATAATTTGAATTTTGCGAATATTTAAGAAAAAAAATTTAATTTAGCTTTTGATATTTCTACTCTCAATATTTCTCCATAAGGTCTCCGGCCGCCAGCCCGACCCCTCAGAGACGAGCTCCTCCTCCAGGACCCCCGGGACGCCCAGTTTCTCGTGGTTCGGCCCCGGTGCCCCCCGCTGCCGGCGGACCCCCCGTCCCCTCGCGCCCGGGAGCCTCTCCAGACCCGTTCGGTGGACCCCCGCCTCAGGTGCCGTCCCGGCCTAACCGCGCACCGCCCGGCGTGCCCAGGTGAGACTGTCTGACTGTAGAAACTGCTGATGAAATAATGCATTTGTGCTGGAAAACAATCATAATGCGCTCAGATGTGAGGAGTGAGTGGTAAAGCTGCAGTGTGTAATTTCTGCAGCACTAGCGCCATCTAATGGAAATGCAATACATTGGTTTCCAACCAATAGAAGACGACCAATTCCAGCTAATCTACATGAATACAGATACATTTGAAAATGGCTTTTGTGTTTTAAAACACTCCATCCACACTGAAAAAACGGAAAATGCTAAAAATCCTATTAGTGTTTATGAGTAAAATATAATAAATAGGGATGCATCGATATGAAAATTTCGGCAGAGACGATAACTCTTTATATTTAAAAGCCGATAACCGATAAATTAGCCGATAAATCTAAATCCTCATTTGCTAATTTGCATATTCATAGAACTGCATATACTAAATGAGGCAAGGGTGTCGAGTTACATTCAAGCTATTTTAAGGCATGACGATTTTTTTCTCCAAGGAAAAAAACATTTAAATATGTATTCTTGGTGATCAAAGATAAGTTTAAAGTGATAAAATGATTGATTACAGGGGAACTTTAACGATTAATCGTGCAGCTCTACTCACTACTACTTCAAAAAGCTAAAAACGCCGTCTCAGTGTGGACAAAAGGCCAAACCGTAGAGAAAAGATGCGTTTTCAAATGTATCCAGATTACTGTGCGTTCACACCGCCGCCGGCGAGAGTGGCAAAATTCGCTCTCGCCGCCCTGCCAACGACGCCGTGGAAAGATTCGTGGACGCTCTGACGTAGATCGAATGCTTGGTCTTTTTTAAAACTGTATTTAAAGGGGCCAAAGCAAACAAGCATGTCGATCGTTATTTGTGCAGACTGGCCAAGTAGGGTATTAGTTAACCTCATTAAATCTTTTAAATGTGAAAGTAATAAATTGATCGATGGAAAGAACTTAATAATTATGTTTGCTAACGAAATAACCCAATTAAAAGCCATTTGTGTGGTGTGGCTTGTGTGTTCATGGTTAAGTGCTAATCTAATTTGCATTCCCGCTGAAAGCGTTCTAGCGCGGAAACCTTACCTATAAATAGTGTTGCGCGCCTTCTTATCAAATTCACATGATCATCCTCTCCTCTATTTTGCTTGGGAACTAATGTGGTCGGAACCAAAGTTTACAGGACTGCGTTCCCTGGAATCCTCTCAAACAGAGCACTTCTAAATTCTGATTGGTTGCCGCCGTACAGCGTCATCGCTCATTACCATAAAGTTGACATGACTTCAACTCAAGGGGGTAATCCACCAGCCGGACACTGAAGTCTCCCCGGGGGCCGCCATCGGCTAGCAAGCCTTCTCCTGCTGTTAGCACTCCACTGACTCCCATTCATTTTGGCGTCGCTTTGACAGCGAATAACTTCAATGGTTCAATAATTACGAATACATGTACCGTTACACCCCTAATTTACATATATCCGAGTCCTGATCGGGAGGTAACGTCCGATTCCGATCGAGTCTGAAACCACGTGATTGGGCCCGATTTCCGATCGCGTGATCGGATCGGGACATCCCTACTTCTAAATTCTGATTGGTTGCCGCCGTACAGCGTCATCGCTCATTACCATAAAGTTGACATGACTTCAACTCAAGGGGGTATCCACCATTTCCCTAAGGGGATAATAAAGTATTCAATCAGTCTCCCCGGGGGCCGCCTTTGGCTAGCAAGCCTTCATCTGCTGTTAGCATTCCATTGACTTCCATTAATTTTGGCGTCGCTTTGACTGCGAATAACTTTACATCTGAGGTGTTTAAAGACTCCATTTGTCCATTGTTTATTTCTAAAGAAATACGACAATGTATAAAAGGCTCCATTACCTCGTATCTTACGTTATGGCCCGTAGAAGCAGTTTTTGTAAAAATAGGCTAACGATTGCGTCATAACACGCGACTCTCTGTCGCACAATAGAGAAATTACCGTATAGACAGGAGAAGAAGCTCATTAGCAATCAGGGGGACGTGGAGGCATAAAGTCGAGGGAGAAGCCCATAGAGAGTTGCTCTGCGAGCTCATGGACAGCTCCTACTCACGCTCTCCGGCTCTGTGAGATTCGGCCGGGAATGATTCAGATTCCTCTTGGCACCGCTACTAGAAGACGTACAGCTGTCAGTCAGGTTGCTCACGTCACATCTGCGTGGTCAAGCTCAGTTTGAGCCGGCGCAGTCACTCCGCCATCAGGACGTGATGCTTCTAATGGGCTTCGCTAGTCTACGGGGTCGCTGTGTCCATTTCTTTTACTTCTCCGCGCCGCTCTCGCCGGCCAAGACGCGCCGCGCCGCCGGCTCACATTGAAAATGAATGACTTCCGGCCACTTTCTCGCCGGCGGCGGTGTGAACGCACTGTAAGTGTAGACGTAGCCTCTGTCTGATGTTGCAGAAATCACAACATAAAACAATGTACATGAAACATTGAAACACTAACCTTCTGCCGTCTAATAAAAAACATCCGTTTGCTCTTAGCCGCGGAATGTGAGATTCTAGCCGGCGGAATAAGATGGTGTGGGTGAGTTAACCGTTCACCATACCAACGTTTAAACGATAAGCAGTCGCAGTCTTACCATCACTGAACTTCAACTCATTATTATTATTATGGTTATCAAAGTGCCATCAAATCATATTTAGATGTCCACAGTCTGCCGTCCTGCTTCTAACTCTTATTATCGTTCAAACGTTTGATTCACAATGTGTTCTCAGTAGGGCTGGGTGATATATAACAAAAATTCACAATGATTTTTGCACGTGATTTGACATTTTTTATGTGCTTTCTTATTGGTCAAAGATTAGTTTAGATAGTTCTCTTGTTGTCTCGCGAGTATGAGTGTGTTCAGGCAGATGTTTTAGAGCTGATAAGTTCAGGTAATTTCCATGAATCGGTTCAGGCAATCCTTAAAAATATTCTTGTTTGCCGTAACCCGACCGACCCTGTCAATTTAGGACCGACACTATTTATTTATTTTTCCTTTTAGTCCGACCGACTTGCCGGTTGTAAACTTGCGTTAAGACCGACCGCTTTTTTTTTTTACTCTTCAAGCTGACTTGCGCCCTCTTTACGCTCGTCCTAATGCCTGTTAGGTGTCCATGGATTTGCCTATATTTGGCGTTGAAAAAGGAAACGTCTTTAGACAAGGAAAATTGATTTTACAATCAATTCAATGAACACTTCTGTCTCAAAACATGTCTTTTTTTCACAAAAGTGACAGCCCTAGAAAGCAACGTAGCCGGTCTCTGATTTGTAGGTTGCAGTGACACCTAGCGGTGGAAGCAAGTAAAACAGTATAACCTAGTAACACCATTGAAATTTAATATATATATTTTCATAATATATTTTCATGATATATTTTTTTGTTTACTTTTCTGACAGCACAGCATATTTAAAGTTATACATTTTAAGACAAGAATGTTACTCATGTCAGTGATGTCACGATATGCAAATTTGTTTAAATTCATATCTACATAATCACCATGACCACAATTTTACTTTTTTTTTTACATTGAATCTTGAAGAAAAAAAAGACCCTTTTTTTTTGCTGTTACTAAACCAAAATATTTTTAAGGATGGCCTCATATAGTCAGATTCAGTAAATGATTAGTGTGGATAGTGTTCCATGGCATTATTAATAGATTAAAATGTTTTATCATGAATACACTGGCATTGAAAAGTTTGCGGTCGGTAAGATAAAAAAAAAAAGAAAAAATACTTTTTTTGGAAGAAGTCTCTTCTGCTCACCAAAGCTGATATACAGCACAAATAATTTAAAACAGATGTTTTCTATGTAAATATATAGTAGTGTCATTACTCCAGTCTTCAGTGTCACATGATCCTTCAGAAATCACTCTAATATGATGATTTGATGCTCAAGAAACATTTATGATTATTATCAATGTTGTGCTGCTTGATATTGTTGTGGAAACTGATATATTTTTTGTATTTCTAGGATTCTTGATGAATTGAAAGTTCAAAAGAACAGCATTTGAGATCTTTTCTTACACTATAAATGTCTTTACTGTCACTTTTGATTGCGTCCCTAATGAATTCATGTTTTTTTTTTTTTATTCTTACCGTCCCCAAACTTTTGAGAGGTAGTTTATATGCAAGTACATATGGATGACAAAAAAAATTAAGTCGATTATTTGAACTATTTCCCTGCAAGTATTTTGAATCTTTCCTAAAATGGTTGTTTGAAATGATGGTTCCTCAAAATATCATCAAAAGGCTTATAAATATCAGGCTTTTTAATGCTTTAACTACTATAATCACCCAGCTCTAATATTTAGCATCTCATCTATGAATGTGTCACTGAATGGACGTCTTGATCACATCAGCACACACACACACACACACTTCACTAACCGTCCAAAGGAAAGGTCATCATGAGGGATGGTTCTGCTCTCTTTCTTATGTTTGTTTTACTTTGTGTCCATTGCTGAACTTTTGTCTTCTGTTGCGTGTGATTTGAATCGTTCTAACACTGACGGCAAACGCTTGCTTCCTGACCACACACACACACACACACACACACTTCATTCGAACCCTAATTAAATCCTAAATGTAATGCTGAAGTCCCTAAGAAATGATTTGCCACGCTGAACTGCAAAACCTCTGACCCCAAAAGAAAACTTCTCCAAAAATCTGTTTTAAATATCCATCTTGAAGATATACAGTGCAAAAAATGCTTTTCTTACTCAGTATTTTTGTCTTGTTTCCAGTCCAAAATCTAAAAATTCTTAAATCAAGATGCATTTACTAGATTAACAAAATGCCATTAGATATTATGTCTTGTTTTCTGGGGAAATAAATCGAAATTAAGAGAGTTGTTGCTTTAAAAAAAAAAAAATTATCTGCCAATGGGGTCAGAAAAATAATCTTAATTTAAACAAAACAAGATTATTTTTCTTATCACATTAGCAGATAATTTTGTTTGTTTAAGCAAAAACTTAATTTTGATTTATATTTTGATATAGCATTTTGCTAATCTAGTAAATGCATATATTTTTAATATATTTGGACTGGAAACAAGACAAAAATACTAAGTAAGAAAAGCATTTTTCGCGGTATGACTTTTTTCTGACGCATTAAAACTGGCTGAGTAACGAGTAAACGAGAGGTTTTGGACGTCAGTCTCTGGTTAGCTTGGATTGGAGAAGTGTTCATGTTTGTGTGTCTCCTCCATGTTAACTGTGTGTGTGTGTGTGTGTGTCTTGCACATCCTTCTCTTCCTCCCCCCCCCCAATCGCTCTGGCTCAATCCCTACTGCTGATATTGATTATTTTTCACAGAATTACAATCAGTGACCAATGAGGAGTAACGCTTCTGGTACGTCTGTGGTTCTCTCGCCATTCCCCATTCCTTCTGCATGGCCGACTGTCTCCGAGACCCTTCAACACACACAACAAACACGCAGTCCAGGAATCATATTAATATATAATAACTTACTAATAAGCACAGCTACTAAAGAAGCACTCAGACAGCCAGTGTTTGTGATTGACAATCGTTAGGATTCACGCAAATATTCATAAGAATGTTCAAAAATATTAAATACAAATAAAAAAAGTGCCCCAATTATGAATTATAAAGTTTTTGTCTCCTAAAATGAAGAATCGATTCTGACCTTCCGAAACGAGTCGTCAGTTATTCACTCTCACTTCCCGTAACAGTGTAACAACGTAACAAATTTGCATAATTCCAGCCGGTGCTGTTGATTGGCTGAACAGCGTCTCTTTGCTCCGCCCTCAAACACTGTAGTTGTATTGTATGTATCTGAGACTGGAAGAGTTTGGTTCGTGTTGTTCATGTTTTCTGCGGTAAATCCACTTTGATGCACTTCTAGAGAATGAGACTGAATTGATACGGAAAAACTTCAGATATGCTAATGAGCGTTTCATTTACGACACACGCTGTAAGCAGTTGACCAATCACAATGGACTGAGCCGTCTGACCAATCACAGCAGAGCAGCTCTCAGGAAGGAGGAGTTTAGAAAAACTGAATCTTCAAACGAACCATTTTCAGACTCTTTAGTAATTTCAGACAGAAATTATGTGCACTGTATATAATGAGAAAATTAAAGTGTTTTTGACCTTTGATGCATGTAAATCTATTGTAGGAAACCTCCAAACAAAATTAGGAACATTTAAAATAGCATAATGGGGCACTTTAAATATATTAAAAAATTTCTTAATATGTTAATTATTTAAGTGAAATATATTTCGTGTGGTCCTTTTTATTTTATTCATTCTCTCGGTTTCATAGAATCGCTTCAGGTGCGTAATGTGTGTGAGAATCCTCATGTTCTGCGGTTATATTTGCACATATAAAGCTTAAGCCCTGGAAAAAATGGGGCTTGAGCTTTATTTAATCTAATTTTAATTTAACATTTAACGGTTAATGGTCGATTGAGCTTCGGCTGTCGGTTTAGGAAAATAATCGAAATGAACAAAATGCTGTCATTACAATCCTCCACCAGATTTACTAGTATACTTAAAAACTTAAAAACATAATATTGATAAATGCCAAGTTTTGCGTTGTACGTTTTCTATCGTACATTCGTTTCATAAATGAGGCCCATTGTGTTTTAGTTTATAACCGAACATTGGTTTCACTTTAGAGAACGTGTGCACATCCCTAGTAGTAATTTTTATTAATTTTTTAATACGTAATTTTATGTATTACGTATTATTTGTAGCTAGTGTTATATTCTTAAGAAGTATTTTTGGGAATACCAATTGTTTAAGAAACTGTGAATCCGGCCCTGTATAGACAGGAGCAGATGCAATAAAGTCTGTATGGACAGGTAACCAAAGTCAAACTCTATAGAGACTTTGTCCTGCGTCTAAACACATGCTACAGCTTTTTTGCAGATCATATGCACATACACTTCTTGTCTTCTTCTCTGTGAAGGACAGACAGACGGACAGAATCTCCGAGATGCTGCACATTCCCTCAGGATACGAGATGTCAGACGAAACTCATCCTTCCCTCGCGGGCCCTAAAATTTTACTCTTTTTTTTTTTTTTTTTTCAGAAAGCTTATTTTATTTCATTTTGATAATATTTTGTCTATTTTTAATGCGCTTTTTTATTTTATTTTTTACCTTTAAATTACTAAATTTGATTAAATCGTAATTTAAGCACATATTTCTCACATTTTTTCCAATTTAAATTCAAAATAACTCACAATTCCATGCATAACCCTTTTAATTCAGCTCTAAATATCTTACATTGGAGTGTTTGCCGACCTCTGGTGGAAAAAAATAAATAATATAACATGATATTTCATGACTCTTGCCACTAGATGGCCTTATAGCTCTATATGAGCTGTTCCGCTGGGTCCTAAAGCCAGTTCATTCAGTATGCATTCAGATACACGTGTGGACATTATAAAATCGTTTTTTGTGTGTGTAAAGTTTTAGCATTTTTAGTAAGAATTATGAGCATTTTGAGCATTTTCTGTGTCCTGAAGGATTCCTCGCATTCCATTCATTCCTAAGGGGTCAAATTGACCCGAGAGGGAAGGATGTGTTACTTTTTTTTAATTTAAACCACAAAACTACTCGAAACAATTCAATTATGTGTGTGTATATTCGTGGTTCAAGTGCGACAAAAGTCAATTAAATATTTTATTTTTTTTAATGAGTTTCGGGTCAAATTGACCCGAGGGAAGGATGAGGAACAGAATTACAGTATTTTGACAGCATATCATGTATCTAAATTACTGAGTGTGAATAGCCTTTCCGATAGCCAATCAAATCCTTGTCCAGCTTTGACGTACATCTCGTATGCTGATTGGTGATTTTGCCTCAGAACAGATTCTGTAATGTGCAAACATCACATCAGTTCTCTGAATGTGTGCATCAGTTTTATTTTATTTAATCAAGATCTGAAAAGCCTTTCCTTCTGCAGCCCCTAATTTTATTTTGATTTTACCATCATTTATGATCCCTCTTACTAAAAAAACACCACAAGCATCCACTCAAACGCTACACGTGACCTTTAGGGTGAAACTGAACAGTGGGGTCAAAGGTGAAGTGTCAGATGTCCATGTTGTTCGTCTCTTCATGGCATTTCATTCTGTCATGGCGTGATCGCTGAATGCTGTAACATGTTTTAAAACTTGATCCTGTATGTTTTAAAACAATGTTCTTGACTGAATAGCTTTAGTAGGGATTAATTTATTACACAAATAAATATGTCTGCTTGAAAGAATGAAGAATGTTGTATGCAAGTTGTTATAAAGATGCAGATATCATTAATTAAAAATAAATATATCTTGTTTATTTATGAGAAGTGGTTTTATTTAATTTTAAGATAAATTAAAACATGTCACAGAAGTTAAATCTGTGTCCGTATTGCATGTCCAAAAACCTTAATATATCATTCATATTAACAGGTTAATAGATGTTTTCTCCAGGAGTACTAATCATAAGTTTGGAAATTTTAGAGAAATGCTTAATTGATGCATTACAATTTAACTAAACCCATTAGATTTTACTGTAGTCGACTAAAATCTTATGATATTTAGTCGAATAAAACTAGACTAAAACAGATCATGACTAAAATATGACCAATTAAATGGTAAATTAACACTGATATAGGCCTATACAACTGTTATTAGTATTATTAATACATTAATTTGTTTAATGCCAAAAATGCTATTTAGCTTTTTTTTTTAAAAAGATAACATTAAAATATATTTAATAAACTATTATTAAATATTTATCACTAGAGATATTTGATTCATAACCATAATCTTTGGCAAAACCATGTGATTAAATATTGTGAATGATGATGCGCTCAGTAATTTATTGTATTATACTATTACGAACTTTAATAAAATAAACATTTTCAATATCTCAGTGCGAAATATTTTTACTGTCACCGAATGAATGTTTTGTGTGTGTGTGTATGTGTGTGTGTGTTACTCATCCATCTTCTCTCTGTGTTCCCATGGCAGCCGACGTCCCCCGGCATCACCTACTCGACCAAACCGACCCACAGACTCCTCCCTCTTTGACTAGTAGCCCCTCCCATTCCCGTGACCAACAGCGAGGACACGCCCACCCAGCCAGAACTCCTCCCCTTCCTGCTCCTCATCACACACACACTAATACACATTCACTTGGACTGCACAACAACTCTACAACCCTCTGTCACAAGTTTAAGTTTTCATTTTGTGTAGGTCAAGGATTTCAAACTCATTATGCTTGTTCGTTAAAGGTTTTCAGTCTTTTAGATGCAAGGGCCTCCAAATATGATCATCCTGGTGCGAAATGTCCTAAAATATAAAAGGCAGCTATATATTTTCATGTAAAAATACTGAATTTATACGGTTTATAATTTATTGTATGTAATTTATATGTATTATTTATTTATTTATTTATTTATTAAATCAATTAATTTATTTAGTTTAATCATACTTCTTATTATTTTCCATATTTTACACTAGTTTGAAACCCCTTGTGCAGTGTTGGGTGAGTTACTCTAAAAAAAGTAATTAATTAGCTTCTAATTACATCTTCACTAGTATAGGTTAATTTACTAATTACTTGCTCTAAAAAGTATTGCATTATTATTACTTTATAAATCACATATCAACCTCAACCAGTTGAAAACAGACATGAAAACAGCTCTTAATTCTTTCAAATAAATCATATAAAATTGCTAAATTATTCTTGAACTCACCAACGTATTTAAAGGGACGAGGTTACAATAAAAACTTTTAACGTTAGATTAAATTAAATTATGTTAAATCCACTGTTTTATATAGAATTGTTCTATAGTTTAAACAGTATTTAATGCAATTACATTAGAAGTAACTGGAATTAAATTACAAAAAAATTAGAGTTATCCATTTATTACTTTACTTTCAAACGCAAAGTATTTACAGGTGAAACTCGAAACATTTTAATATCGTGCAAAAGTTAATTTATTTCAGTAATTCAACTTAAAAGGTGAAACTTATATATTATATAGACTCATTACATGCAAAGTGAGATATTTCAAGCCTTTATTTGTTATAATTGTGATGATTATGGCTTACAGATATGAAAACCTTTTCACAATATTCTAATTTTTAATTTTGGGTTTTCATAAGCTGTAAGCCATAATCATCACAATTATAACAAATAAAGGCTTGAAATATCTCACTTTGCATGTAATGAGTCTATATATTATATTAGTTTCACCTTTTAAGTTGAATTACTGAAATAAATTAACATGCGATATTCTAATTTTTCGAGTTTCACCTGTATTACTGCATTAGGCTACTGTTTAACCATCCTTTTCGAGAACTGCGGATAATGTACAACATTAAAACCAAAAATCAGAAAAGAAAACTGTTTAGGATAATCCAGATCTAGAACACAATGGTTTTATGAACTCAAACTCTTTGACAGATGGCTGATGAGTTTTAGATCACTGTTCATGATATTCACCATTTAAGGCTCCTTATCCTAAAGAATAAGCTTGACAGGAAAATATATGAAGGGTTTGATGAATGCATTTCTCTCACTGTATTTTCTGCCATCTTTAAGCTTCTTTTGGTTTTCTGCCCGCCCCGGTTCGCAGACGCTTGATTTCCCACTGTATACGGGATGCATTATCTCTCCAAAGTGTGTTCTGGAGTCTCATGATAACTGCATCTTCTGGAATGTGCTCGTGTGCATTTGTATTTCTGTACATTACTTTGGCTTTTTTTGTTTTTGTTTCGTATGTGTCGGGCTGCAGTGGTCCCTGAGCTCACGGGCCAGAAGACGACACCAAACTCCCCGAAGGGTAATAAACTTTCCCATAGTTCCACAGTCTTTCCCTGTCTGCATCATGAGCTCCTCATAGTTGAGAAAACTGTTTGAAAATTGTTTAAATGTTGAACCTTAAAACAAACATCAAGTTATCATTTCCATAGTAGTTCACATAGCTATATTTCAGTATAAAACACGAAAATATGGTGGTCATAAACATATTTGGCCACAGTTAAATGTCTGAATGTCATTACACTAGTGTAACATGGTATTTTAGTATACAGGACGTGGGATCCAAATGCAGTGTAAGGTTTATTTAAACAAAATTACTCCAGGCAGATAACCAATGAACAAAGACAGGAACAAGGAACAGGTGCTAGTGATTTGTTGCTATAGACAAAGTAAAGTAACCATAGAGACAAAAGGAAATGAAAAAACAGGAAAAATAACATTAATTATACTAGAATAGAATACAAGAAAAGGAAACACCAGACTGAAATCATGACAATTAGATAGTGACAGTGTTTTTCACAAGGGTATTTAAGAGGGAACAAAACTTAAAACCATGTAAAATTTGAATCGAGAACACAAACAAACAGGCTAAAGATCAAGGGCTCGGATAACCATGCCAATTTGAGACAATTAACTAATAACTAACCATTTTCCATTATACACACGTGCTTGTCATTAAAACGAAATGATAAAACTGAGCCGAGATCAGTTAAACCGTATTAGTTATTATTTGAATAACTCAAATAATGCGCAAGATATTGCCCGATAAACGCGGTACCAGCCGTCAAACTCGTCTTACAAGTACAAGAAGAGAACCTAGGCTACTATAATCATTCAACACTTTGTAAATAGTGATGTTATTTACTGCACGGCGGCAGATAATAAACCAGAAGTCCTACCTATTGTCGATACAACAGTGGGATGCTGAAGCTCCAAAATGTTTCCTCATTATTTGACAGTAAACCAAGTCTTGAGTTAAAAACACAATCTTGTGTGGTCACCATCGTAGGTTCCATTTAAAAATAATAAAAATTTCAGTCAGAAGTCTGATTTTCAACATAAAAGTACAACAAAAGTCCTCTGAGGGGATTTTACCAGACAAACCGTTTGGCGCCAATTTCCCATTTGAATGAATTATTAACGCGGAGTGATATGAGACGTGGGAAGTAGTGCGGGTAATTCGGTTTAACGGACCAGTGCTAGTATATTATAAAATACAGCACATTTGTCAATGTTTAGTGTTGTTGTAGGTTACAGTTAAAATTGTAATGGAATAATAATAAAAAAACACCTGATGAGCGCTAATTATGTGGGCATATTTGACTGCTAATTGCGTGATTGAGGGATCAGAATGAAGTAGCTAAAGTTATTCAGAAAGCCATGTAAGTAAAATGTGTTCAAGCAAATTTTAAAGGATTTTTGACCAAGTTTGTACGATGTGAAATTCTAAAACAATAGTTCTAGCTTTGATCACGAAGACAATGTAGATCATGCTGATAATTTGGAAGAAAAACAGTGTAAAAATAAATAAATTACACAATAATGAATGATTGAATGAGGCATTTATATAGCGCTTCATATGTACTGCGCTTTACAATCATATCAGGGAATCTCTCCTGAACCAATAATGAATTATTTATTAATTTTATGTATTAGGCTATTAGTTTATGTATTTATTATTTAATAACAAAAAAAGATGAATTCCGTAGGTTACACTGCTATAGCTTGCAAATCACATTTTAATACATTTCAGTCACTCAGGTGACCACAAAAAAATCATATTTTTGAAAACATCCTGCTGCTTTTGATTGATTGAATTTTTTAATGACATTTAGACGTTTTTAAGTGAACAAATACGTTGTGTGGCCACTATATGACATTTTTACTTGATTATAAATAATCTCTGTAATGATATTCAAATGTTTGTTAAGAATGAAAGTTATATTGTAAACAGTACACTTCTACACGTCTCCTGATAGTGATGAGGGAAGGTGGGGTTTGTCTTCTCAGCGTGTGGACTCTGAGGACACTTTCTAGGGTTTGTTTGTCTCATTTCTAACTGTGTTTTTCCCTTTTCAGCTTTCATGACTCAGCCGGTCAAACACGAGCAGCCCAGACGGTCCCCTTCTCTCCACGTGACCCTTAAAACACTCTTCTTTCCTGCTTTCTTCTTCTCGGTTTTCCCCCCACATTGAGTAAAACAACCCCAAACCCACCAGCAACACGAGCAAAAAGAACAAGACGAGATGTTTCCTGAACCCTCGGCTCATCGTCCGGTTGAGCGTTTGAGAAACGAGTTCATCTCTTTGGTTAAATCTTCTAGAAACTAGAGGCCTTCCCTGGAACAAATCCTTCCTCATAGTATTCAAAAGCCATTTATTCCTACACTGCAACAAAAAAAATCTGTATTTTTGTCTCATTTTCAAGTAAAAGAGTTCTTTCAAGAGTTGTTTTGCAGTGTAAACGTTGTTGTGATGATGTAAAGCTTTCAGGTACGAGGACGTGTGTTCACCCTTCGTGATCAGGCACAGAAATCATTCGTTCGCTTAGTTAAATCTGAACTTTTAGTGGGGCTGGATTGAATTTGAGAGTGCAATATAATCGGTATCTACATGCATGTCATTAAAACATAATAGTGCAGTTTTAGGGTGAACAGACGCTTAAAACCTGTTTAATTTATTTCACAAAGAAGTCAGTGTCTCTATAACATCGGTCATGTCGGGAAGGTTTTCCACACACAGAATTAAATACTTGCTTACTTTATATACTTGCTGTGCAGTGTATACTGCATATTATTTTCAATATACAGCTTAAAGTGCACTATTCAATGCTAAACACAATGTTGTCAACTGCATAAGTCATTTTGGAGCATTTGCATACTATTGCACATAGTGTGCATACTATATAGTCCAGAAATACTAACTAGTATGATGTTCTGAACATATCCACATACAACATGTCAACATGCATGTGGCAGATAGTTTCTCATTGCCTAAAAAAATCATTATTATTTACATTTTATGGCATGAAAAACATTAAAAGCACATTTAACACGCTTTTTTTTCTGTGTGTGGACAAACTTTCCCCAAATATTGAAATTATGCACATTTATTTCAAGTCTGATTTTCCTGTCTGTAATTTAGTGTTCGTTATGAAAGCAAAAATGAAGTCTAATATCACTGCAGGTCTATGCATAGAAATCATTATAGTTTGTTTGGTTGAAAATGAGAAAATATGAGTGCAACCTTCCACACCACCAGTGGACTGTATTTCGTAATTCTGTGGTTTGCTGTAATAATAATAATAATAATAATGAAGCCCCTGTTGCTAATAGTTGACGTTGTGTGGCATGACCAGACCGTCTGCGGTTTCAACTGTGCCGTTGTTTCTGTCTTCAACATTCACACCAAACCTTCCCCGAATCCACTCCGAGTCTTAGTAAAACCCACTTATGAGAAAAGAATTGCTGTTATTTAAGAGTTCAAATGTGTGTCATGGGCATACTGTATCTAAAGTGTGTCGCGTATCTTTGTGGTGCATTTATGCAAATTGTGACTAGTGTAGTCCACATGTATGATTATTGAATATTAAATTATTATGGTTAAGTGATTTCTTTAAATTAAGCTTATTATCACGTGTAAAGTGAGAGTCTAGAGGAATAAACCCGGGCCTCTTTCTGTGTTTGGACAGAAAGGTGTAACTATACTGAGTGTGTAACGTGTGAATGAATGAGTGAAAGTGTGTAACGTGTCCTCTGCTCACACCAGCTTGTCTGGCAGGGCTGTCGTTATTAAAGTTAAGTGTAACAAAACCTTGCTTTTGTGCTGTTTTTCTTGTCGTCAGACGGTCTAAACTCTTAAAAATAAAGAGAATTTGTTCTAGCTTATCGATATGCCATGCAGTTTCTTCTTTCCTGTTTGTATTTCTATGGATGCCCATTATGGCCACATAAGAAAAAAAACATACTTTGGCAAATCATAATTATGACATGAAGTGTCAGTAAAAAAAAAAAAAAAAAAAAATTATGAGATAAAAAAGGCATAATGACATGAAGTCGATAAAGAGATCTCACAATGTGAGTCATAATGTAAAGTAAAAATGATGGCATAAATCTTACGACTTAGTACCATAATTTTGACTGATTTACCAAAGCATGATCTTTTTTTTCTTCTTTCTTACATAACAGGCATATTTTCAGAAAGCAAAACCTCGACTAATTTTCCAGGTTGTTAATCTATGATATTTGCTTCTGTCAAAGCCGTCAGCCTGCATTATTTCAGGTTATTCTGTGTTTAACAGTAGAATTCATGGTGAAAAACTACATTACCCATGATGCTGTGCAAAACATTCCACTAATCAGAGTCGGAAAAAAGAAAAAAGCAACATTGGCCAAAATATATCATAAGCCCCGCCCACTCCCATGAATCACTGCGAAAGACGTAATCGAGACAATCTCTAAATACTTAATATGTTTGCATATATATATGTAAGCAATAAGGTATGAGAGGCTGTGCTGTATCGTGAATATAAGTAACGGCTGAAGGGCGTTGTTAGGCACGACGCGGACTGCCTGCAACCCTTTCAGCCGTTACTTATTCACGATACAGCACTTGCCTCGAGTACATTATTGCTTTTATAAAACGGTTTCCACACAATAAAAATATTAAAGTAAAAAAAAAAAAATGTATTAGTGCAACTTTCATGAAGTAAAATCACTAAAAGCCTTCCTTCCGCTAGAAAAAAAATAGTCCCTGACCGTGAACAGCAACAACGTTCCAATGTGTAATATGCAGGAAAGCTCAAATAAAAACAACATAGGAACTGCAGTGTTGCGCAGTGATAAATAGAACCGTTGGGTGAAGCGGTCATAGCCGTGTTTTATCTGGTTTTATCATGAATAAAGCACAGCTATTGACCAATCAGAATCAAGGATTGGAACTAACCGTTTTATATATATATGAGCACATATATGCACATTTTTGCAATAAACGTACAATGTTTTTATATGCACTACATAACATTTAGTTTTAAAATTTGATTATGCTGTTTGCAATGCTTCATGGGATTGTAGTTGTTTCCGTCTAGGGTTGCCACCTTCAATACAAAAAAATAAGGGACGCCTGCCGGCGGCCGCAGCGGGGGCCAAAGCCCTCAGGGCCACAATGACCACAGGCCCGACGGTATGCCAATGGTATCATAACTCAAAACATATTTTTCAGGAAAGTAATAAGATCATACCAATGGACATTATAATAAGCTATCTGCTATTGAAATCATTGTGAATAAATCACTCTCTATCACAAACAACGTTAACAAAGTGTGACAATGAGATTACAAAAAAAATGGCCTTTCGTCGGAGTTGTATGTGAGATGTTAACTTATTAACTTATTAAATTAACAGATCCATAACTTATTCACTATAAATTAAACAAATGTGTTGATACTCAAACAAATACTAAATTTGATTGGAAAAAACTATGACTTTAGCAAAGGATCTTGAACATCAAAAACATCAGTAGACCAGTAGTACTGTGCAGTATTGGACTATAGGCGTTAAGTGTACTTGTCACTCCATGCAGCACTGAGTAGCTGTTTCTTTCAAACATGTAACACCATCCAAACAGTGATACCACACATAAATAACCTATAATCTACAAACATTTCTAAATTTAATTATAACACTATTTTTATTATTGGTAAGAAAATCTATTTATGTATTTATTTATTTATGTATTCAGACCTATTGACCTATTCTCTAGATTTGTTAAGCATAAGTCATTTTCTTCACACATGCACATTTTTATTATTAAATATGTAGGCCTATTAAATATCTCTCTCTCTTATTTAAAAAATGCATGTGTCTGACTACCTTAACTATAATAAACAAATCATACCATAATGTATGGATATAATTCATTTACATTGAAACATTATTTCTTAGCAAATGGGCATAGGGTATGGAGCATATGAAAACGTAATCAATCAGAACATTATTGAGCTGATTAAAAAACTGTCATTACACTATGACTACCTGCTTCGGGAGATCCTTAACGTATGAAGAACTGTGAGACGGTGCTTTGATTTCTCTAAGCTAGCATTGCTATCAACTCTCTGCCAAAAGACCCGCCCTCCTCTGACTCTGATTGGCCCTGAACCTGATGTTATTAAACAAACCAATCAAACCAACAATGGCAGCGAGTATTACCCAATCAAGGGTAGAATAGGACGAGTCTTCACAGAATGCGGGTGTTATGATTTGCATGTGATGATGCATTTAAGACAACTCGGAAATACGGGACAAACCGCGTCCCGTATTGATTCAAAACGGGACGCGCTGTTTATTTCACAAATACGGGACGATTCCGTATTTTAAGGGACGGGTGGCAACCCTATTTCCGTCACTAAAGCCGTTGTCTTGTACTTTTGTCTTTTCTGCTTCAAATCAAGAGTCTGTAGTGTTGCGATTCCCCTCAGGTGTAGTTTCTCAGCTAAAGTTGATTAAAATCGTACATTATGCCATTATAAACGATCAAAAAGCGTGAAATCACACATGACTCCCACATCATTAAACCTCAGACACTGAACAGGTTTTGTTTTGCTCAATCAGGTTTATTTAGGAGGAAAATCACCACATGAAACAACTCGTTATTCCTTCATTGTGTTCCAGCGGTCGTAATTAAAACAGATTAGTGTGTAATTCATCATTATCCCAAATAAATAGAATTCTCCTTTAGTTCAGCTGTCGTATGAAACCACACAAACGGCGCGTCCTTTCTTCCCACAAGATCCTCTTCTCTTCCAAACGCAAGCATCACTTCCATTCTTCTCCCCCCATGAATATACAGTATGATACACAGTTACACTATTTACACATCTGTTACATCAACAAGCTCTGCAAAATAATAAACTTGATCTGAAAATATCGGAATAAAGCCCACGCCCCAAAATAATCACTGTAAAATATATTCATACACGCAGAACGCAGATATAAACGCATAAAGCTTGACGTCGTTTACAGATGTGGCCAATAAAAGTGCTTTAAGGGTCAAATACCCCGTTACTTCAGACCAAACACAGGATTCAGATGTGAACTCTTAACACACTTTTCCAGTTACATTACACATACAGGTGAAAAATATGGTGCAAAAGTTCATTTATTTCAGTAATTCAACTTAAAAGGTGAAACTAATATATTATATAGACTCATTACATGCAAAGTGAGATATTTCAAGCCTTTATTTGTTATAATTTTGATTATGATTATGTCCCAAATTCAAAATTAGAATATCGTGAAAAGGTTTTCATAAGCTGTAATCCATAATCATCAAAATTATAACACATAACGGCTTGAAATATCTCACTTTGCATGTAATGAATCTATATAATGTATTAGTTTCACCTTTTAAGTTGAATTACTGAAATAAATGAACTTTTGCACCATCGAGTTTCACCTGTATGCTAACACTTTCTATGAAGCCTGTGTGTAAATATACATTCTACTTAATAACGTGTGGTGTTTTTGTAAATACCTGTAAGCAGATTGTGATATGCATATACTTCTAAAGAGATGAATGCGTTTAAAACAGCCTCACACTCTTTAAAGGTGTAGCCGTGAGAGAAACGTGTTAAACTGCATTGCAATTATGTACAAAAAAACACAAGTTGCATGAGAACGGCTTCATAGAAAGTGTTATCAAATCCACCCATGATGCTCTTGAAAGTGTCTGACTGTGGAGGATGTTGTTTAGAGATGAACTAGGAGGAATTATTAATGTAATTTCTGTACAGCTCTCATAAACTCGCACTCATTGAATCATTCACTCGACTCTGAACTCTCAGCCGACGGCGTCATGGAGTTCACACACAACCTCCGACATCTGGAACGCTTCGACGTCACGCAGTCTGGGGAAAACACAAGGTGCTTATGTGTCTGTGGGGGGAAAAATATGATAACATCTTCCAACAAATCCCAATAATGGCCAAAGAGAAGCAAAAACAACTGTTTTTAACTCGTATTGTAGCGAATTTCTATTACGTTACCTTCTCTGCCCTACATGCTTTACAAACACTTCTTTCAGAAAACACTTCATCTTCATAGTCCAGACCTGCTCTAATCATATCATATCATATTATTATGTAACGAGTTCACAATCTTACTGATATGAATCATCACTGATTGGCCAGGAAACGGTCTATTGCACCACCTATGTTTGATAAAGTGGACTAATCGCACAGATTGATCAGGGACACGAGAGCAGCGAGAACTGATATTCTTATGGATTAACTGGTTTACACACAAACCAAAATGGAGAGTTTCAGAATCAAGATTTCTCTAGAAACCAGAGAAACTAGGAGTCCATATCGCCAAACATCCCGAAGCCAAGCAGGAACGCAGATTCAGACCACCAGAATCTTGACCTCGTCGTGTTCGTCGGGCCGGTAGAAGAACGGGATGCAGGGGTTCTCCCCCAGGAATGGAGCCGGTCGGGCCTGAGGGTTCTGGATCTCCTGCAGGAGCTGCATGATCTGACGGGCCGTCCCGTCCTCTCGGGGTCTCAGGGACGGGTCGGCTGTGGATGCGGGTCTCTCTGAGCTCTCGGGGTCTGTGCTGGACTGGGCCGACGAAGACCCGTCCACCGCTGAGCTCATGTCCAGAACCGCTGCGGGAACACCGAGGATTTCAGGATTAAACATAAATAACATCATCTAATCTGGTTAAGCAAAAACTGTAAAACTGCATGATTCAATTCAGTTCAATAATACTGTCGATGTGGCAAAAATCATCAATTATTAAACAAAGTGGCATCTATGGAAGTGGAGGAAATGAATCCGCTATAAACAGGGTTCGTACAGAGACTGTAAAATTAAATACAGTAATTTACAGGCTTTTTAAGCACTACTTTTTTGGTTTTCAAGGACTACAATCAGCGATCTCACTTATCAAACTATATCTTTCAAATTCTAAAAAAGAAAGAAAAACAAACCAAAAATAATAAATGGTAATAATAATAATAATTTGTTTGTTTTAATAATAAAACAAAATGGTACAATTAAAGTGCAGCACATGCAACTTTAATCATTGAAAGGATATTATGACAAAGATATCACTTTCCTTATTCAAACTCATTTTTTTCTCCCATGAATATATGATTGACCTGAATGATGAAAGCTGTATCATATACTTGGATATTTATATGAGCAAGATCACGCTCATAGCCATGTGAAATGGCTCTATATCTATATCAGACGGGGTGCAGAGTTAATTTTGTGTGAAAAGATTGTTATCACTAAAATTAAACACTATTTAACATACATTGTCTTTCAATAATGCAAGCACTTTAAGTACCTTTTCATAAAAATGGCTGTTTTCAAGGGTTTTCCAGGACTTACATTTAAAGTACTTTAAGCACGTTGTACAAACCCTGTATAAAGCAGCGTCGTCATCTAGCTCAAGTTTCAATAATGAATCAAATCATCCGAACCACACATCCTGATGCTCATGTGTTTGTACCATAGACTGTAAAAAAATATGGGAACGTAGTGTCCGTGACGTCACCCGTGGTGTTTCTGAAGAGCATTTTTAAAGGCCAAAATGGGCGGAGCCGGCGGTCGCCATCTTGTTTGCGCGTCACTCCCGGATAAACGAAAATGGGCATAAAGGCGGGATTAGCGGAGGTGACGCTAACAGACAGCAGGCAAACGGCTAGTAGTGACATCAGCAGCAATCCACCTGTCACTCAAGTGGCCACGCCCTTAATTATGCAGAACTTTAAGGCTTAATATCATTTAAACGGATGAGTTATAAAAAAAAAAATATAATAAAAATCACCCCCCTCACAGTCGTCATGAAGGGCAAAATTAGCTATATAGACCAGAACAACTTTTCACACCAGGCTGTAAACATGTTTTATTCTGCTGTAAAGTTGGGCATTTTAACATGGAGGTCTATGGGATTGACTCTCTTCTGCAGCCGGCCTCTAGTGGCCAGTGGAGGAACTGCAGTTTAAGTCACTTCGAGAGAGACGGGAAGGTTGCCGCTTGGTTTGCACGAGTGTGACCGTTACCTGGACTGTCCACACTGTTGCCGTCCATGTTTTGGTCATCAGGTCGAGGCTGGTCTCCTCCAGAAGGCAGGAGGTCAGGGTTACTGACGGCGCTCATGTATCTGCTGTACCACTCGTTACGCTCCCCCACCAAACGCATGACCAGGTCCTGCAGCTCGGCTAACTTCACCTGAACAACACACACACACACACGTCAAACATCACGCCGCAGACGTCACACCATCAGCACAGAGATGCTCCTCGTACCTTCATCTCCTCCTTGTCTTTGGCCAGCATGTTGATGTATTGCTCCTTTTCAAAGTGTCTTTGTTTCATGATGGCTCTCTGGTTCTGATACAGCGCGATGTATTCACCTACACGTACAGAAAACACATTTGTAAAGAGGAAATTCCTCCAATGCTGATAAACTCAAATGGTCAAACATTAACAGATATCACAAATATGCTGATATAAGCTGTTTTTCTTCTAGCACGCATTCGCAGAAATCAAATTTTCACATCACGATAATTGCTGAAGCTTTATTGAATTTTGATAAAAAGATATGAAACCTAAATAGCAATGTAAAAAAAAAAAATGTTTTAATAAAATGACGAAAGCACATAAAATTACAAAAAATTAAACAAGTTTATTCAAAATATTAATAAAACTATACTCTAAAATACCAGTGAACCTTTTGTATAAGTATTTGGTGTTGTTTGATAAACAAGCAGTTTAACAGGTTGATAATGCGCATTAAAAAAATCTAAATAGGGAGTTATCTAAAGTATTCTGAAGTGCCAATGATAACCGTACATGTTCATTATATATGCAATATACTGTATTACAAAATGCCGTCCAGCACGTCTGGACACGACAGTAATGCAAGTAAGGAATAATTGATGACGAGTTGTTGAATTATTAGAAAATAACGCACACGTGAGGTGGTAATGATGCAAATAAATATTTTCTAATTAATTTATTCTGCTTATACTACGGTTTAACACCGTAAGACATTGATTAGATGATGTATTTTTTAATTGTTAGGTTTTTGTCCTTAAAACGCTTGTGTGCAGGACTAATTTCTTGCACATCTCATCCCATGCCTCCATTGTTAATTCCAAAACGTCATTTTAAAGCTAGAAACTGAAGCTTGAGCCATTGATAGCAGACTAATGCCGTTATTAATACAGTTATTAATGAGAGAGAGCTAAACTAAGTTTATCTGCTTCAAGAACAGCGCTGTTATTATTACCTCGCTAGTGAGAAATGTCATGTAACTTTAAAGTTGTTAAACTATTTCACTGATAAAATCATCAGAGCAGCGCTAATAACACGTGTCTGTGCGTGTGCGTACTGTATGTGTACGCGTTTGAGCGTGAGAAAGAGTGTATGTCTGTACATAATAAAACTTAATTTTGTGGCAAAAAACATGGAAATAATTTGTCTTTTTTATCCCATTGTTTACTATATTTATGTGCTTGGTCAGTGTCGCTGTGGGTTTTGGTTCTGTCGGCTGTAAGGACCTTTGAAATAACTGAAATCATTTGGCGAAGTAATATGGACCTGTAATGCGGTCAAAACCTGCTGGAACTACTTTAGCTGTGCATTTACTGCAAAATAATTGTTCGTTTATCAACCAATCACAAACAAGCATTCACATTTTATATGCATTGAATGATGCATTTTTCATTCTGCACTATGCATTTTGACGCACAATGATACAGATCCGCTGACAGTGTGTGTGTGTGTGTGTGTGCATGAGCGTCTCACCGATGGTGTCCGTTTCTCCTGACAGCTGAATGCAGCGGTGCTCCAGCTCCTCCAATCGCTCCCTCAGGTCCACCTTCTCCTGCATGAGTTTGGTGAAACGCTCCTGGAGTTTGTCCATGGCGACACGCAGAGCCTCGTGCACCTCCACTGGAACCCCGTCAGAGTCTCCTACACACACACACACACACACAATCAGCAGTGCAGCAAAGACAGGGCAAAAGTACTAGTAAACAGTGAAGTTGTTAAATAGTAAAATTCTATAAAAATTAAGCAGCACAACAGTTTTCAACATTGAATATAATCATAAATGTTTCTTGAGCATCAGATCCTCATATTAGAGTGATTTCTGAAGGATCATGTGACACTGAAGACTGGAGTAATGATGCTGAAAATTCAGCTTTGATCACAGGAATAAATTACACTTTATACAAATATTCACATAGAAAACACTTATTCTAAATTGTAATAATATTTCACAATAATTTTTTATTTGAATTTTTACTTATTACTAATATTCAAATTATATTCAAATTTAAAAGGCATAATTTCAGTAATGTGGAAAAAAGATTTTGGCTTGTCTCCTGATGCCATTATTATCAATATTATATTTTTATTTTACATATAAAATATCAATGCACCGCATTAAATTGTTCATTAAAAGCAATGACAACATGATTGTCGTTAAAAAAAAAAGTGCATTATGTTTAAACTAACGTTTATAAATCAAATATAATTTTGTAAATTGCATAAACAATTGTGAATAAAACAGCGTCATGTATTTACGCATACTTTAATTAAAAGAGCCGAAGTGTCGATCACACAGAGTACTTTTTGCATTTAAAAAATAGAAAAAAAAACACAAAGTTGAACTTCTTTTAACTTTACACAACTTTCTAAACACGCGGCTTTCTAGTGCGAGACGCGAGTGTATCGGTCAAAGATGTCCGTCTAGCGCATGTTTACATGGAAAACAATAGAAAAGCAGCGCAGAAATTGTGTTCTCTATTTCTGCAATGTTTCAAATGAACAACACAGCAGCACCGAATCTAGTGGATACAACTATAAAGCCAAACAAAAATACTAAAATGCAACAAATGACTAACATCATCATCCCATCTCGTAGGGCACTGATAAGGACGCACACCTAAAATTATGATGGACCACTTCGCATTGAAATGTGGATTTTCTTTTTTTGACAGACCTAAAACTAGGGATGCACGATATATCGGCCACCATATCGGTATCGGCCGATATATGTTAATTTTTAATGTTATCGTTATCGGCCTGATAAGAAAATTTGGCCGATATATTAAAGCCGATAAATAATGTATTATTTTCGTCAGCTGAGATGCTTCAGATGCATGATGGTTTTAAATAGCTTGAAATATGATAGAAATCACTTCAAAAAAGGAAAATACACTTTAGTATTTTGTCTGCAAGTCTGTCATATCGGCATTAAATGACATGAAAACATTATAATTGTTTGCTTGAGACATGACTTTTAATGGTGAGACTTTTGTTTTTGTAATCAGGCTCTCAAAAATTCTATAAAAATTTAGATTTATCTGCCGATATATCGGTTATCTGCTTTCAAATAAAAAGAATTATCGGTTATCGTTATCGGCCTGATAAGAAAATTTGGCCGATATATTAAAGCCGATAAATAATGTATTATTTTCGTCAGCTGAGACGCTTCAGATGCATGATGGTTTTAAATAGCTTGAAATATGATAGAAATCACTTCAAAAAAGGGAAATACACTTTAGTATTTTGTCTGCAAGTCTGTCATATCGGCATTAAATGACATGAGAACATTATAATTGTTTGCTTGAGACATGACTTTTAATGGTGAGACTTTTGTTTTTGTAATCAGGCTCTCAAAAATTCTATAAAAATTTAGATTTATCGGCCGATATATCGGTTATCGGCCTTTAAATAAAAATAATTATCGGTTATCGGTATCGGCCAAAATGTTAATATCGGTGCATCCCTAGCTAAAACCAAACGTGTGAATGAGTTTTCTCAAATGTGTGTAGACGTCTGAGGGATTTCAGTGCAGTGAATGTTTGCTCATGATGAAGCCGCACCTGTCTCTGCACATGTGCTCTGTTGATGATGATGATGAAGATGCTCGTGGCTCATGGCTGTCATCTGTTGCCGGGCGGCGTGATGAAGCCTCCTCTCCTCCTCGAAGCGACGGCTCATCTCATCTCGCTCATCCTCCAGACGGGACAGGGCAGAATGAATAAACTCCGCCTGAAATAATCAGAGGGAAAGAAAAATTCACCACGGAGTGGAAATTAATATTTAATGAGGAAAACATGTTGGGTGGAGGTTGAGTTTTTGCCTCTGGACGTGATTGGATCATGAAAGTAAGCTTTTTAAAAAATATTATTATTTATTAATATACATTTTTAATACAATAAAATATATCAAATTAAATATTTTAACCCTTATTATAAAATAAAGCTGAAATATATTACTGCTGGAAATTATAAAATTGATAAAATATAATTATAATACTTTTATGTTTAAACCACACAAAGTCACAAAGCTAATTTTAAATTCAGTTTATAATATTAAATTAAATTTATATTTAAGTCTTAAATTCTGCACTTTCAAATGCTCAAGCTTCTATAATTTGATATAATAAAATAAAATATAATATATAATTATCTCCCGCTTTGATGGTATCAACAGATGAGAAAAGTCCTTTCAAAAGGTGAAATCAAATTACTTTTTCACAAAAATAAAATTAAATTAACTGAACGAATAGTCCATTTTGACAGTAAATCTTCATATCCAACGTCACAGAAGTCTATTCAATTGCATATTTTAATAAACCCACCATGTCTTCTCTGGTCTCAAACTCTTCTGGAATGACGATCTGTGATTTCTGGAAGCTCTCTGGGAGCGAGTGACTCTCCAACCCGTCACCTGCACACATCAGTCGGGCAATCGTCAGTAAAGCCGCTGTGGTAGAGCAGATGTTTCAGTGAAAGCTGGGACTCACCCTCGTCTCTGTGTGACGTGTTCGTGACGGAGCCGTTCAGGAGCTCCTGCACTTCCGTCTTCAGGTCCTCATTGTCTCTGGCCAGCTGGTTTAGTTTCTCCTGCAGAGCGCAGTGAAGCAGGATAGATTATTAGCATCAGCGAGCATTTAAAGGTGCATTGTGTAATATTTAGGAGGATCTGTTGACCGAAATGCAACATTAATTGTTAAATATCTTGGCAAATATTTTCAGAGCTACATTCATGGTAGTGTTGCATTTCTGTCAACAGATCCTCCTAAATATTACACACTGCACCTTTAATGAATGTGGAGAGCAGCTCATATGACAATGGGAGAATTTAATGAGAAATGAGTTGATATTGAGATCTCTGACTTTTGGTATCATATTGTGATTAGGGATGTCCCGATCCGATCACGTGATCGGAAATCGGGCCCGATCACGTGGTTTCAGACTCGATCGGAATCGGACGTTACCTCCCGAATCGATCAGGACTCGGATATATGTAAATTAGGGGTGTAACTGTACATGTATTCGTAATTATAGAACCGTTTCGGTACGAGGCTTCCGGTTCGGTACGCATACAAACCGAACGATTCCTAGGACCATTTTTTCCTGCAGACAAAATCCATTCTCAAATCCAATCCTCATTATATTGTGCTTAACGGACCATTTATCAGTTCGGACCAGCAACATCTGTGCAGCGCGAGATCAAGCGACACTGTGCTAAGAGATTCACATTTCTCCGTTATTAACCGTAGATCTCTATTAGATCAAACAGCGCTGACGTGGGAACCAGGAGAAACATTGTGCCGTGAATGAACACGGATTTAATGTTGCACTTCAAAACTCAAAAATTATATAAATATATATTTAAATGTTATTTTTAATGTGATTACCAAAACATTATTTGTTCATCCTTCAAAGATTACCCCCATTTATAAACCTGAAACTTTCAAGATGTAGGAAAACTCAAACTTATTTAAAAATAGTTTTTCTTTTAATAAATAGGAAATTTCTCTGGCATTTCTTTCTTTTTGCTGTATCGTATCGAACCGCACACTTTGTGAACGGTTACACCCCTAATGTGTATGTTATTTTTTATACACTTTTAAAACATTTTTATTTTTTATTTACATGCCTGCCGGGTATTTTAAGTTGAGGTGCTATTTGTTTTTATATTAGACTTTTTTATATTGACTTGCAGTAAAGTTCAAAAGGGAAGATTTTATGTTATTTATTACTTGATTGTTCAAGCTACCTCACAGAAGTGCTCTGTTTGTTAACAGAGTTGTTGAATGTTAAAATAAGGTGAATTAAATAAAAAATAAGGAACATCCTGGATCTGTTTTTTCTCTCTTCTTTATTCTTTTTTTATGTATTATATAAGTATCGGATCGGGACTCGGTATCGGTAGATACTCAAAATCAAATGACTCGGACTCGAGGGCAAAAAAACCTGATCGGGACATCCCTACTTGTGATATGTATGGAATCGTGACATGAGGGTATGGTCACACCCCTAGCGGATGCTCATACAGTGATGGTTGAAGAGAAAGCTTGCGTTGTTCACCTGTGCCTCCTGCAGCTGCACGTGACTCTGCTCCAGCTGCACTTTGCCCTGCACCTCGTCGTGCTGCAGCCGGTCCATCAGCTGCGCCTGCTGCAGGAACTGCTTGTGCAGATGCTCTCGCTCCGCCACCAGCGCCTGGTATCCGCTCGTGTACTGCTGAAGATGGCTGAGATACTGATCCCTCTGCTCCTGCACCGACGCCACCTCGCTCGACTTCTCCTGCAGCTGAGGCCATGAATCAACAATCAGGTTACGGTGGGCAAAATCACTAAAGCTGCGTGCAAATAAGGCAGCAGTTTCCTTTAACCATAAAATACCTTCCCCCTGAGATTGTAAGTTAAATTCCCCCAGTGGTGAAAATCCAGCTTTTAATGTTGTTTATGTGTCTATGTGGTGTTTTTAAAGTGTTTTCAGACAAACCATGTGTAAATTCTAGGGGTGTAACGATACACGTATTCGTATTGAACCTTTCGGTACCGAACGGTTCGTTGGACCATTTTTACTGCCAACCAAAATGTCGTTATTTCAAATGTAGGCGCGTTGCGCGTGGGCAAGTGCGCTCATAATGTAAGAGACGCTGGCGTGACCACAACATTGCCCAACATCAAATGGCAAATGTAATGTAAGCGGAACGAAACTGTGTGGTTGACGGACAGTTTATCAGTTTGGACCAATGCAGCGCGAGCCGATCTTAATCAAGCAGCACTGTCACTACACAGCCAAATCCAGTAAATAAAGCATTTGAATTCGCCACTGAAGTTATAACATCGCTGAGAGATCTAACGTTAGTGAGAAACATTCACATTTCTCTGTTATTAACGGATCAAACAGCGCTGACGTGGAAACCAGGAAGAAACATTGTGCCATGAATGAACTATCCAGTGTCCACAGATCAGCACATTCACCATGGGTTTACTGTAGTAACACTACTAACTAACCATGGGAGTTTGGCAGGAATAGTCGGCTATAATGCTTTCAAGTAAAATTACGTTGGTTTTATTTTGACATTATGAATACAAATGCTGCCCTCAAATATTAATCTGAACTAAAATAAACCTTTGTTTATAACTACTACAATATTACATTTCATTTAGTCCAAGGAGCTGTTTTTGTTTTATACGCTCCTAAGAAAAGTCAAGTATAGCTCCATCATTGCTCAAAGTAAAAAAAATATCATACTTTATGATGTAGCCTAAGTTTTAATAAAAATATAATTAAAAAAATTAAAGCAAGGAAATTTCTCTGGTATTTCTTTCTTTCTGCTGTATCGTAAACGTACCGAACCGTGACAAAAGTGTATCGTATCGAACCGTGAATTTTGTGAACCGTTACAACCCTAGTACCGTATTTTCCGCACTATACGGCGCACCGGATTATAAGGCGCACCTTCAATGAATGACCTATTTTAGAACATTTTTCATATATAGGGCGCACCGGATTATAAGGCGCATAAGATACTGCAGTCAAACGTTTGACTGGGTTTGCGTTATGCATCCACTAGATGTCAACAAATGTCAACAAAACAGTCAGATAAAGTCAAACTTTATTAAGCGTTCTGACAACTCCGTTCACTCCCATGGTAACGTTGTTCAAACGTTAAAGGAGAACTCCGGTCAATTTTAACATTGAGCTCATTTTTTGTAAATTTGGAGTGCTGTCAGTACAGATAACAACGACAAAAACCGGTGTTGCCTACCCCGTGTTATCCTCTTTTTAAAATTTGCACCCTGTTGACTTAAACGGGAAGTTTTAAACCTGCTTTTAGCCTCTTAACAACCTTAATGTGTCATTACAAGTGCACAGCCATGTGAGTGAACACGGTGAATCTGACTGCAGTAAATGTGAAAGATATGAATAAAAATGATGTTTATAAAGCCAGCTCACATACCCGTATTTTCTTCCTGTTTTCGGTCGAAGTCCACAGTAGGCGATTGTCGAGTGCGCGCGCGCGATCCTTGGTAACTAAGCAACAGTGGAGACTCAGACTGTCATCTGTCAGCCGATGACGGTGCTGTGTGGTGTTCTGGGAATATCAGCTCAAATGGATAGTTCATCCGAATCAGATGTTGAACACACGGAGGAGGTTTGATCGCGCGTGCGCGAACTCGACAATCAACTACTGTGGACTTCGGCCGAAAACTGGAAGTAAATACGGGTATGTGAGCCGGCTGAATAAAGAGATTATTCCTGCATTCGTGAAAGCTCGGATCACAGTTGAGACTGATATATATCAGCCCAGGCATCCACGATCCACTGGCAGATAGTGGCGTAAGTCGCTCTGCGCTGGATTATAAGGCGCACTGTCGTTTTTTGAGAAAATTAAAGGCTTTTAAGTGCGCCTTATAGTGCGGAAAATACGGTAAGTTCATAAGTCGACAGCATTGCTGAATATTTTCTCCTTAAAACTGCAGTGAACCAAAGACAGTCTCAAAAACACGGTTTGAAATCGCTGGTGTTTCTTCAGTTACAGAGATAGTATGATGCCTGTAGGTATTTCCTTGAATGACTCACGTTGTCTACTTCTGCTGTGGGGCATATTTTGAGTTTCTGCATTAGAGCGCCACCTGGCTTTCAGATAGAGCAGCATTTACTACTGATCACAGAGCCGTGCTTCACTGACAAGCAGCACATTAAAATAAATAAATAAAATAATTCGCAGCCTTTGCCAAATCACGTACGGCTCTCTTTTAAAGATGTTTTTATGACGTGTCAATTGTTGTGTAAAGTTGGTTGCATGTGCATTATTATTGTAAAAGAACAAACCTGTTCTTTGGCATTGTGCAGATCTTCCTGTAGCTGACCCATCTTACGAGCGATCTCCTTCTTGATGTGGTGCTCGGACTGCAGAGCGCTCGTCAGCTCCATGTTCTCATTGGTCTGAAGGGGGAGAAAGGTCAGAGGTCACATTCGCATACGTCATCTTTCACTAGAGCTCACCAGTAGGGATGGGCCACGATGAATTGACGTGCTACATGTAAACGATATTATTTGTTGTATTATTTGAGTTCATTTGGAATTATTCAGCCTTTATGAGCAAGCAGAGACTAATGCGCACGTGATTAATATTCATGAACTCAGAAGCTCATCAATCCTTAGTGCAGTTTGTATTGTTATTCTTATCAGTATTATTGTTCGTTTTTTACATTTCAAACTTGTAATTGAGTTGAATTATTATTGTGTGCTGGTTTTCAGTACAGTTGCACTATTTAAACATCTGCACTTTTACAGAAGAAACATATTATCTGCAACTTTTCCATTTCTGGCAGGGCTGGTGTTTAAATTTTTACTTTTTTATTTTTATTTTTAATTATTTTATGTAATTGGTGTATTATAGGAGCCTATTTGATGATGCCTGTTTTACTTTAGATCAATGTTTGTGTTTCTGAAGCTCTTTTTTAAGAATTGTTGAAAGGTGTCTTTTTAATAACAAGTGCAACACGTTCCCAAAGTCATGTGAAATAATCGTGTTACATAATTGTGATTTCAATACTGACCAAAATAATCGTGATTATGATTTTTTCCATAATCGAGCAGCCCTAACTTGAAGCCAAAAACAGTGATGACTGGTACTAAATGTCTCGTCATTGATATCATTATTGCAATAAATACCAGAATATATCGTGATATAGTTTTAAGTCCATATCGCCCATTAGGGCTGGGTATCGATTCAGATGTTCCAATTCAATTCGATTTCATTTCGCAAGCTCTCAATTCGATTAGATTTCAATTCTCGATTCCCGATTCCACTCAATGAATATAGATTTAATACAAATCCTATTTTATACAAAAAGAACAGTGAACATAAGTTTACATGGGTACACTTAGGTACATTAAAACAGAACCCAACTCTATATTTCAAATGCATAATATGAATAGACAGGATTTTTGATGCAAGATGAATAATTGATGCTGTAAAAAGGACAAGTCAGAACAGTGGCATGCCTTGATCAAACAGGATCAGGTTATTTTTAGGGCTGTCAGTTAAACGCGTTATTAACGGCGTTAACGCAAACCCATTTTAACGGCGTTAATTTTTTTATCGCGCGATTAACGGCCTTTTTGGCCTAGCAAACTTTGTAGTTTTTTCACATGCTTTTGCAACCGGACGCGGCGCGGCGCTATGATGAAACCCATTCATTTCAATGGCTTGCGCCGCGCGAGGACGTTTTGTTGATTCGTCGACCAAAGCGCAAGCGGATCTAGCTAGACCGGGAACAAAACAGACACGCCGCACACACTCGTTTGGGCTTGCGAGCCGGCCAAATAGTAGGTTAACGTTACGTTTTGAGTGGATGACGAGCGCGAGACGCCGAAATGGGTGCCAATAAGATTCTGAATGGAAAGTTTACTTTTAAAAAGTTGCCAAATGGTTCCATTGACGAGACCAAAGTGATCTGTGTGTTTTGTCGTTGTGAACTGAGCTATCATCATCGCAGCACGTCCAGTCTGAAAACACCACTTGATGATGGCCAAGCAGCACACACACACACACACACACAGCTGATGCGAATTCTCCGCCCCCTCGTCAATATCAGGACCTCGTCAGTATTTCTTTCACCCTTTTATTGATGGACAGTGTTACATTGTGTGAGAGATTATTTGCTCCAAGTGAGAATGTTAGTGTGAAATTGAACACAGTATTGTTAATGTTGTTTTCAATAAAACACATTTGCACAAAGCAAGCCAATCCACTTTTCCATGTTGATAAGAGCATTAAAATGAGAAAAAATAATGGGACAAAAAGAAATCAAGAGACATTTAGAATAGATAAAAATGTGTGATTAATCGCGAGTTAACTATGACATTAATGCGATTAATCGCGATTAAATATTTTAATCGTTTGACAGCACTAGTTATTTTATGTTAAAGATAAAACTAACATAAAATCTCCCAGCATTAGCTGTAACATGGAGGCTGCAAGCCTGTGCACAGTGTATGAAAACTAATACTGGCTTTTGGGTGATAGATAAATAAATATGGGGAAAAAAAATCGATTCGTGGCCTTTGAGAATCAATCACATTTTAAAAAACGATTAATCGAAAAATCACCCATCCCTACTCACCAGCTTGACGAAACCGTTCTGAAACTCAGCCAGCTGGTCTTTGAGGTCTCGGTTCTGAGCCAGGGCTCTGCTGATGGTGGCTTTATCGCTCTGGACGTCCTCCAGAATACGGAGTCGATCCTGAGCGTCTTCAGCGGCCCGTTCGGCCTGTCTCTCCAGTTCTTCCAGCCTCATCTCCTGTTCCTGCACCAGTCGACTCAGCTGCTCGTTGTCCCGCACCTACAGGACACAAAGGAAAACACATGCAAATCATGTGTAAATAGAATAAAACGCACACATTGTGTGGCTGATACTCTGAAAACACCGGATAACGAGCTGCTCACGTGTGCCTTTGATTTGATATATCTCAATTATTATTATTTTTTAGGTTTTTAAGAATGCACAAAGAATAGTGACTCAAGCTAAGTTTTATCTACAATGTGTAAATTATTACCATCAGGAAAACGTTTATGTAAGGAGTGTCTAAACACTTATATAAGGAGTGTCTGCTAGGACTGAATGATGTGACGAATTATATGAATATCAATAGCTATGTTTTCATCCAAAGTTGCGAATTAAACTTATGCGCAAAATTGGAATGACATAAAACATTTGCAAATAAAGCAGCGCGTCCATCCCATGTGTTCAAGAGAACAAAATATCACAATCTCTGTTGAGGCAAAGTCAAAAGAGTTTTTTGTTGCGCATCAAGGGATATTCTCAGTAAATGCGTTTCCATTGTAGTCTATACGCATGAAAAATGTATCCGCCTCAATTAAGCACATGTTTTAATGCACTTTTTTTTTTTTGATACCCCAAAATGTGCATAAAAACAGCTATTGTGAAGAATGATGGAGTCAAAAGGGTTTTGTGTAATGCATTTTAGAAATGTATTAATCTAAATATACTGCAATAAGAATTGCATGATTAGTATTTTCACAGTAGCGAATTGTGAACTTTGTAAGACAAACGCAGTATATGCATGACACAAAGCATGCGTCACATGTTTAACGCAGGTCACCTGTGCTTGGTACTGTAGACTGAGAGCGTCTCTCTCCTGCTGAAGGCTGCTGATGGTTTCCTGAAGGGCCAGTTCACTTTCTGAAGGGCCTGAGACCTGTGACACGACCTGCAGCTCCTGCTCTCTGCTCATCAGAGCTATGGACACAAGACAAATCTCTCATGTTTCTATCTGACGAGAGGAAGGCTAGAAGTGGTATTTATGTAGTGTATGTTTTGGGCATTTGTTTAGTTTTTTTGGCAACTAATGGGGAAAAGTAAGTGATTTAGGGTTGAGTTCGGTTCTCTTGGTTCTTAATAATACATTTAGTATTGTGTTCAATGTGAATAGGGTGTAAAGATGCCTTGTACCTGCAGCGTTCTCCAGTTCTATGATCTTCTCCTGCAGCTCGTGGATCTGAACAGCAGTGTTGTCCCTCTCCTCAGACATCAGACGCACCTACACACACACACACACAATACATCAACATTTATCGTTATCGGCCGATACATGTCCATTTTTAATGTTATCATTATCGTCCCAATAAAAAAAATTGTCTGATATATTAAAGCCGATAAATAATGGATTTTATCCTTCAGCTGAGACACTTCAGATGCACACAGTTCAACATGATGGCTTTGAATTGCTTGAAATATGATTAAAGTCACACAAAAAAAAGGGAAAATACAGTTAAAGGGTTAGTTCACCCAAAAATGAAAATTCTGTCAGTAATTACTCACCCTCATGTTGTTCCAACCCCGTAAGACCTTCGTTCATCTTCGGAACACGAATTAAGATATTTTTGATGAAATATGAGAGCTGGATCACTCCTCCATAGGCTTCTTCAGGGATTGAAATTGCCGGCCTCGAAAAGTTATTAAAGACATCGTTAAAATAGTCAAAGTGACTACAGTGGCTCAATCTTAAGTTTATCAAGCGACGAGAATACTTTTTGTGCGCAAAAACAAACAAAAATAACGACTTTATTTCAACTATTCATGTCCATCTCCTTGGGCCTCGAGTCAGTTCACTAGTGTAATAGCGTAAGCTTCTGTTGTTGTATGTCACACGCATCACTAGTGTTGTTTTTGGCGGCCTGTTTTAATTTTAGTTTTAGTCTAGTCTTTGTGTCAAGCTGTCATTTTAGTTTTTATTAGTTTTAGTCACATTCATACTCTTTTTAGTCTAGTCTAGTTTTAGTCGACGAAAACTGATGACATTTTAGTCTACGAAAGACATAGTCTAGTTTTAGTCAATGAAAATTGTATTTTAGTCTCTTTTTAGTATTCTATTTAACCCGGTCAATATAGTAGCCTATACCTATAGTATAGACAAAACCAAAATTTTCTTTTAGCCAAACCCATTTCAAACAATCTTATCTTCTGTTATCTTATTATATTATTGTTACCTTATAGACTCAAGAATAAATCCATTCCAGACACGGAAAATGCTCTGATTTGAATTTACAACTTATTTATTTTACCAACCAAACATGTTAGAAGTAGCCTACACACATGATGAAATGAAAGTTTTTCCTAATGTCATTTCTTCTTTTTCTCCCAAAGACGAATCCCTTTCTCTGTGTCAGACTTAACTTTGTTTGTTGTCGTTTATGCTAATGCCTGTTTCACACATACTCCGAATTTTTTTTCCCGCACCCATGTAGAGCCTATGGTTAGAGCGCTCACACGCACGCGGATGCGGCCCGTCAATGCGCTCCAGGAGCGGTGCGTGCATAACAGCAGAGCAGAGATCTACACAGTAGCTACCTCAACAACGCGACATAATGGATGTAGGCTAAAAATATTGATTTGAAATAAAAAATAGAGAATAAATGTTGTGATTGTGGTACAGCCGTAGATCAGTTGCGCACTGCAAACGGAGAACATGTGAAAGCAAAATAGCTCGTGCTGCTCCTGCATACACACCGCAACACGCACCGCATACGCACTACACACGGAGTATGTGTGAAACAGCCGTAACTCACGCAGCTGGATCTTCTAAATAATGCCGCGAGTGGGGCTTGAGGATGTGAAGTCGCCTGCGTCTGCGCAGTGCGATCTGATGCAGCCCCTGAACACGAAACAGAAATGCTGCATAATAATAATGCAAGTAAACGAGACGAAATAACGTTAAATAACATTTCGTCTCGTCTCGTTTTGGTCAACGAAAATGAAGAGACATTTTAGCATACTTTTTTCTTTGTAAACCACATTTAGTCTCGTTTTTATTCGTCAACGATATTGCATTATACATTTATAGTCATCGTCACATGACCAGCATTTACGTTGCGTCTCGTCTCGTTTTCGTCACGTGATAAAGGTTCGTTGACGACGATCTTTAGTCATAATTTTCGTTGACGAAAGCAACACTACGCATCACACACATGACCAGCGTCGGCCAATAGTGAGCCTACGTGTGACGAAGCTCTACGGAATCACACTACGTTAACTGACTAGAGGCCCAAAGAGAAGGACATGAATAGTTGAAATAAAGTCGTTATTTTTGTTTGTTTTTGCGCACAAAAAGTATTCTCGTCGCTTGATAAACTTAAGATTGAGCCACTGTAGTCACTTGGACTATCTTAACGATGTCTTTAATAACTTTCCGAGGCCGGCAAGTTCAATCCCTGAAGAAGCCCATGGACTAGTATGGAGGAGTGATGCAGCTCTCAGATTTCATCAATAATATCTTAATTCGTGTTCCGAAGATGAACGAAGGTCTTACGGGGTTGGAACAACATGAGGGTGAGTAAATACTGACAGAATTTTCATTTTTGGGTGAACTAACCCTTTAAGAGCAACATGTGCAGCACAAGTCTGTCATATCGTCTACATAAAATTATGAGAACACCATTATAATTGTGTTTTTGGGACATGGATTTAAATGTTTAAACTTTTTGTATTCAGGTTCTCAAATTATATAAAATTTGGATTTATCGGCCAATATATCGAGATGGTCCTCACTGCAGAACATGAAATCCACGGGGAGGAGTCGGATCCAGATCCAACTCCTCCCACCTTACATACCCAAACCTACCCATCTCCGCCCCTTGATCCCTAAACCCACCCCTAATCCTACCCATCTCCGCCCCCTGATCCCTAAACCCACCCCTAATCCTACCCATCTCCACCCCCTGATCCCTAAACCCACCCCTAATCCTACCCATCTCCGCCCCCTGATCCCTAAACCCACCCCTAATCCTACCCATCTCCGCCCCCTGATCCCTAAACCCACCCCTAATCCTACCCATCTCCGCCCCCTGATCCCTAAACCCACCCCTAATCCTACCCATCTCCGCCCCCTGATCCCTAAACCCACCCCTAATCCTACCCATCTCCACCCCTTGGATCTTGATCCGACTCCTCCCCGTGGATCTCATGTACTGCATTGAGGTGCTACTGAATATATCGGTTATTGGCTTTCAAATATAAAGAATTATCGGTTATCGGTCGAAATTTTCATGTCGCTGCATCCCTAAATCAACACACTCCATGAGGGTATAAACGTGTGTGTGTGTGTGTGTGTGTGTGTTAGGGCTGAATGACACATCTAAATAGCGACCCATCACAAAGTCTGTGATTTAATGAAATGAATATATGCACTGTGTGTTTCAGAGTGAACTTTATCATGTTGCTTATAACGTGCATTTGGGAACGAAACGTGGGGCAGCCATTTCACCAGATTTGTAATAAGAAGCATTTAAAAATGTACTGTAAAATAAAACTATTATTACTTATACACACACACACAAAGTATGTTTTTACCTGAGACAGGAGCTGTTCTGTTTTGTCTTTCCACACTCTTCCCTCCTCCTGAATCTGTGCAGCGTACTGATCTCTCTCCACCTGAAGCTGAGCGACGGACTCCATCAGCTACACACACACACACACACACACACACGGAATTCAGAATGACAGAGGAAAAATACTGGCACAAGCCATTCCCAAATTACAAGCCCTTCACACACCTGAGCCGCGTGAGCCTCTAACTGGTGCTTCTCTTCCAGGATGAGCTGAACCTGCTGGTGTTCTGATGGAGGACCCGACTGACTGGAGAACTGGAGGATTTATGTTAACAGACAGGAATTACTCCATGAGATTTTGTTACATCATGCGCAGAGTAAGGGCCAGATTTTCTAGCAGCATGCAAACCCTCTTTTTGCGTAAAAAAAAAACCTACAACAACTGTCAGGATCTACCAAGGACACGCAGTGAAAACTTAGCGATGAAAAGCCATGGTTATTTTTGTGGCTGATCTTTTTGCATATGCATTTGTACATACTTTTAGGGCGTAGTATAGGTAGGCGAATTGGGACGCAGCAATAGTCTTCGCTTTATAAATAAAATGTAGGAAAAGCCTTACAAAAAGTTATTCAATCGAGATCAGCAAGTGATTTTCTCTTTGACTTTTGTTCTTCTATTAAAATGAATAACAGACGTCAGCTGGTATATTAGGCTGCTGTCACTTTAAGAGCGAATGCACTGATCCATTATAATATTACACGCGTTTTCTTTCTCAACCGTTTACGTTCACTTAAAGGGATAGTTCACCCCAAAATGTAAACTCTGTCAGTAATTACTCTCCCTCATGTTGTTCAACCCCGTAAGACTTTCATTCATCTTCGGAACACAAACTAAGATATTTTTTATTAAATCTGAGAGCTGGAGGCCCAGAAAGTTAGTAAAGACATCGTTAAAATAGTCCGAGAGACTACAGTGGCTCAATCTTAAGTTCATCAAGCGACGAGAATACTTTCTGTGAGCAAAAAAACAAACAAAAATAACTATTCATCTTCTCTGTTGGCCTCGAGATTTCAGTGTAACAGCGCAGCGCTTCTGGGTTATGCATCACACGCAGGCTCACTATTGGCCAACGCTGGTCATGTGTGTGATGCGTGTGACGTACAACACAGAAGCGTTGCGCTGTTACACTACGTGAAATCTCCAGGCCAACAGAGAAGGAAATGAATAGTTGAATTAAGTCGTTATTTTTGTTTGTTTTTTGCGCACAGAAAGTATTCTCATCGCTTGATGAACTTAAGATTGAGCCACTGTAGTCACTCTGACTATTTTAACGATGTCTTTAATAACTTTTCTGGGCCGGCCAGTTTCCATCCCTTAGAAGCCTATGGAGGAGTGATCCAGCTCTCAGATTTAATCAAAAATATCTTAATTTGTGTTCCGAAGATGAACGAAAGTCTTACGGGGTTGAACAACATGAGGGAGAGTAATTACTGACAGTTTACATTTTGGGGTGAACTAACCTTTTAAGACATAACCGTTGTGAAAGAGATCTTGCACTGCGTTTATATTTGCACAAACATAAGCGCGCATACAGAAAGCCACCTTTCATGAGATGTGCGAATACCGAATTAGAGTTCTCTTTAGTGTCCTCTCGCACTTGAATGGCTTAAAATCACATTAAAATGTGCACACAAGAATCGTATCTGCAGAACTTTTTACTGTTATGGAATTGCAGTCTCATATGCCCCGTTTAGTAAATCTGTCCCGATGTGTACAGTGTTTCCTCACCTGCTGCAGCATGTCGTCGGCCATCTCCAGCCGCTTGCGAAGCTCATCAACCTCATGTTTCAAGGCATTGTTCTCATTTACTCTCAGCTTGAGCTGCTCAGAAAGTTCTGAGCTCTGCTGCCGGGACTCCTCGCTCAAATTACTGACAGGCACACAGAATATATATTCATATAACATCTCATTTTCAGAACCAGGTTTACATGATATCTGTTACTTCACACTGTACTTCTCCTGTTATACTTGAATACTAAACAATAGGGGTGGAACGGTACACAGAAGTCACGGTTCGGTTCAAAACTCGGTTCAGACATCACGATTTCGGTACAATGGAGGGAAAAGCAAAACAAAAATGCAGAAGGCATTGTATTTTTTAAAATAATTTTATTATTAAAGGCATAGAACCAGTTTATTTGTAGTGCACTGACAATAGTTTTATATAATTAGTTTATTAATTAAATTAATAAAAAGACAAAAAGACCTTGCGATATGTTTGGTAATTGTACCTGAATTAATTTAAAATTAATTTGCTATATTTCAGATCAATATATTTGTTCTCCTTAATTTTAATTAACAATGTAACATTATTCTCATCTGAATCATAAATAATTGATTTCTGTATAAAATAATACTACCATTAAAAACACATTCGATTTTCTTTTTGAATCAATGTAGAATGTGTAAGATTAGTGCTCCGAGGACAAGAAATGAAAACCAATGCGATATGATGAATGTCCAAAAGATGGAACACACAGACTGTTTTGAAATGGAGTTGGATAAATATGTTTTGCTTTTAAAACAGTGTGTGTGTGATTTTGGTTGGGTGACAGTTGTATGTTACAGTTTGACAAGAGTTTACAGTGTGACAAAAGCACAATGTTGTGTTTTATTGCGAGTGTACACAAATATAAGTAAACACTTTGCGGGTTTAATGATCTGTATGAACAAAATGATGGAGTATGTTTTTTTATGTTTCCACTGTTCGATCGCGCCCGCGCCTCTCTCTCGCGCGCGCGCACACACACACACACAGACACACACACTCCAGCATTGCAATCTTGACATCGCAGCCCATTATGCGGTCACACCAAACGCGAATAGAGTGTCAAATTCGCGTCTATCGCGTCTAGTTCGACGCTAGTCCAAAGCGAATAGGACACACGTATAAAGCCAACGTTTGAAGTGAACGCGCGTTCAGAGCTAAGCCGATGGTACAGATTATGTGTCCCTAAAGAACCCGCGTATCTAACAGTAGTTCCGCATTACATTAATTAATTTGCACGCAAGTTTTATTTATTTTTATACCGTGTATTCTCCGTGTAAATTCGTGCACCGAACCGTGACGCCCGTACCGTTTCGGTTCAATACGAATACATGTACCGTTCCACCCCTACTAAACAATGCACCTGTTTCTATTTTCACTGTGGCAATAATCTACCATTTCTACCTCTTACCTTCTACCTTGTACCAAGCACAACATTTTCTGATTATTTGCACTGACTGGTCTGGATCTTAAATGCACTTTAATTCAATTTTATTTATATAAACATTTATTCTTATTGCTTTTTGCACTTCTGGTTAGATGCTTCTGTTTCTCATTGGCTTTGTACTGTACTCTGCACAATGCCAATAAAGCTGGATCTAATCTAATAACACACTCATTCATTCATATAACATCTGCTGCTAAATGAGGGGGAAAGACTTACTTAAACCTGAGGACCTCCACTCGTAGACTGTCTCTCTCCTTTTCAAGCTCTTTATTATGCTGTGGAAACAAGGGGTTTTTAAACTTAACCGGGTCTTTTAGGTCAAACATAGCTGATAATGAAGATGAATGGAGGATCTGCTACCTTCTCAAACTGCTTCTGTTGTGTCGAGACTGTAGATAATGTTCTCTCTAACTCAGACACTCTGTGTTTACTGGCCTGCAGTCGCGAGCTCAGATCTTCTGCCTCGCCTGCACACAAACACACACACATGTGGACAGGTTAGTGTAAAAAAGGTGGATCTCGCAAGAATATGTGCGGGTCATACATCAAAAAGAAATTTAGTAATAAATTACATATTTCATAAAGAAAAAAAAAGTAAATTGTTAGGCCTAATATCACTGATCCTCAGTGTTCAAGCTTATTCACCTCAAAAACACTGAGGTTAATGAGACCTATGATCAATCCTTTCTTAAAAGAAACACAAACCTGTGCTAATTGAAAGAAATCAAGTAGACAAAAAGATTGAATCCAATATTTGACAACTTTTTTTACCACAAGTGTAATAATATGGGGGAGGGGGGCACACAATTTTTAAAAATCTTTTTGGCAAGTCATTGCACCCTGTGTGAGCAAAGTCAGTAAGTTTTAATTTTTCAGTTTTTAAAAAAACATTAAAGCAAACGAACACGTTGCAGGTGCAAGTTAGTGAAAAACACTTAATGAAGAAAGAATATAACAGCACACTCGTTTAAAAGTTTATTGTTGCTGAAATTGGTTAAAAATAAACTTAAGTAGGTGTGCAGTTATGAGAATGAATCTGACAGTGTGTTATTCACGCACACACACACACTCACCTGACTTCTGTCGTGCTGCCTGCTGTGTGTAAGACAGGGCCGTCTGTAGCTCTGATTTCTCGGACACCAGGATGCCGATGGTCTGAATGTGAACCTGAATGAGGAAATGCATCATTAAACACACACAAAACTTCACGTTTGTATAACAGCACTGACATTAATAAGGGTTTTCCTGCATTGAAAACATTTTGGCCGCCATCAAAATGAATCTTTGTCCCCGCATTTTGATCATTTAAAGTGACAAGATCTGTCATTCTGCAGTACCAGTACTCACTAACAGCAGGTATTAATTTAACTGAATTAAAGGGATAGTTCACACAAGAAATTTAAATTTTGACTTCCATAATATCTTTTTTCCTACTATGGAAGTCAATAGCTACCGCCATTTAAAAAAAAAAAAAAAAAATCTTTTGTGTTCAACAGACGATAGGAACAACTTGAGGCCGAGTTAATGATGACAAGAGTTTTGGGGTGAACTATCCCTTTAAAACGCTTAACTTGTGATGTTTATGTAAATATATGTGGGATGCAATCACACAAAATCAGACATGACTATAGTACTGTATAATATCTGTTCACCTGTAGCTGTTCACGCATCGCTCCCTGGTCCTTACTGAACTTCTGCTCAAACTCTTTCCGCTCCTGAGGAGAAGCGATGAAGCACAACAGGAGTCACACACTAACCAATGATGAATGAGCAATATAATAACACTGTTGGCCGCGCTTACCTTCTGCAGTTGATCAGAAAGCTCCTGAGACTGCTTCGTCTGAAGACACAAAACAAACATGGTCAACATTTAACTTTAAAAAAGAAAATCATTAATAAATGTTAAACAGGAGCCTTAGAGTTATTACAGGTTAGCGCTTCATTAAAGACAATTTGAATTCAAAATGTATCTTATTCCCTTAAAATGTGATAACTGCTCTTCAAAACATTCTGAAGGCCATGAGGGAGGGGGAATATACACAGTATATACACTACCGTTCAAAAGTTTGGGGTCAGTGAGAATTTTATTTTTATTTTTTGGAGGAAAGAAATCAATACTTTTATTTATCAAGGAATAATTAATTTGATCGAAAGTGACAGTAAAGACATTTATAATGTTACAAAAGTCTTTTGAACTTCCTATTCATCAAAGAATCCTAAAAAAAGCTGTACAACTGACAGACCAACAACTGTTTCAACATTGATAATAATAATAAATGTTTCTTGAGCATCAAATCCTCATATTATACTGATTTGTGAAGGATCATTTGACACTGAAGACACTGACACTGGTGATGCTGAAAATTCAGCTTTGATCACAGGAATAAATTACACTTTACTATATATTCACACAGAAAACAGCTGATTTACACTGGAATAATATTTAATACTATAACTGATTTTTGTTGTATTTTTAATCAAATAAGCGCAGCCATGGTTAGCAGAAGAGAATTCTTTTAAAAGTATTTAAAATCGTACCGACCCCAAACTTTTGAACGGTAGTGTATATATATATATATTTTTTACAATGAGCAATATATTTACAGTATTTATTTGTTTACATTAGTTAATAAAAATACAGCTGTTAGTTCATGTCAGCTCAGGTCCATTAAATATTAACAGGTATAACTTTTGAATTTAATAATGTTTTAATTAATATGAACTAAGATTATCTTGTTTGTAAAAATCTTCACATGTACAATCCAATCCAACTCTTACAGAATAAAAATAGAATAAAAGAGTGAAACAGAATAAAAATAAGAAATATAGATGTATGTATTAATAGCAACCTTTTAATTAAAGCAATAAGGCACTCAAGACTGTTATAATATGAACAAAGTATATTCAGAATATAGCATGACCTCTGACGAGTTTAAAAACAGATGTTTACTAGGTCATACACTCGTGTCTGCATAAACGCTAATCATGTGTGCGTTTAATAGGATGTGAGAAGTTCACAAAGAATGCATTCTTGAATTTCACTTTTTTTTTTTTCATTCTCATTGTACTCCAAGAATGCATCCCGTGTGAATGTCTCAGTTATCATAGGACGTCATGCATAAACTCTTACCAGTGTCTCGAGTTTGGACGTGAGCTGGGTGTTTGTTAGTGCGCTGGAGTCCAGAGCAGCGGCCAGCTCTTGGTTGCGAGTCTGAGAGACAGAGAGAGAGAGAGAGAGAGAGAGAGTTGATACGGTGTAACACAAAGAAAGTTATGTGTGTAACTGAACACTGGGTGAATGTGGACAAACGGCATTCGTTCGTATTCTAGCAGGGCGACATTTAACATTTTACTCAAATCTGAGCTCTTAAAGTAGAAAAAAATGTGTTCTCTCTATTGAAATTAATACTTTTATTCATCAAGGATACATTAAAATGATCAAAAGTGACATTAATAATATTACGAAAGATTTCTATTTCAAACTAATGCGATTCTTTCTATTCATCCAGAAAAATATGAACTGTTTTTAACATTGATAATAACTTCTTGAGCATCAAATGATCATATTAGAGTGATTTCTGAAGGATCATGTGACACTGAAGACTGGAGTAATGATGCTGAAAATTCAGCTTTGATCACAGGAATAAATTACAATTTACAATATATTCGTATTAGACATTTAGTCTGCAACATTATTTTAAATTTGTACTGTATTGTTGATGAAATATATGCAGCCTTGGTGAGCAGAAGGGAATTTCTTCAAACTTTTGAGTAAGACTGTAACAAATAAGCGGAGCCTCTTTCTGTCGAGCCCGTGTTTGTGAAGCTGGAACAGGATGTTTGTTCAGTGTGTAGCAGGAGATCATGTGAGCACCGGATTAAATGCCAGCACTGCAAAAACACACGTTCTGAGAGATAAACAACTAATTACACTAATTAAAGACTTCAGTAGTGCACAGCAGAGAGAAGAGAAAACAGTTTCAGATCTTTTTTAATTCTTTATTTTTACCAAAGTCCCCCTGTGGTGAAAATCCAGCTTTTAATGTTGTTTATGTGTCTATGTGGTGTGTTTAATACGCTTTAAGACACACCGTGTGTAAATTCATGTCGACAGCATTGCTGAGTATTTCCTGCTTAAAACTGCAGTGAACCAAAGACAGTCTCAAACACACGGTTTGAAATCGCTGGTGTTTCTGACGTCACAAACGACCTTGTAACCAATCAGATCAACGTGTGATCGTCAACCAGTGGATCTCTGAGCTGAGTGAGTGAGTGAGTGAGTGGAGGCGGGGCGCATTTGCATATTCATAGAGCCGCACGTATACTAAATGAGGCGAGGGTGTCGAGTTACATTCAAGCTATTTATAGGCATGAAGAAATGTTTTTCCAAGGAAAAATCGTTTAAATATGTCATTTTGGTGATCAAAGATGAGTTTTAAAGGATATAATTATTGAATACAGGGAGACTTAAAATTGTTCTTGATAAACCATGAAGAAAATTTGTCTGTAAACCATGAAGGAATCAATCCGGGATATTAGTGTGAAAATGATATCAAGTGACTGACGCTCAGACCGTCAAATCAGCCAATACTGTAAACCCCTACAGGCTATTTTCATCGTAAGAACTCCAATAAGATTATCCTGCTTGAGTGAGATTAGTGACCGTATGGAGTGTTAATTATAAACCTCTAGACCAAACTAAACTACCTTACAGTACAGCAATACAGTTCAGCACATATACTTAAAAAAAAGAAAAGAAAAAGATGTTTATGTTGAAGATAAAAAAGCAGAGGTGAATTAATAGTAAAACATATCGAATAATTAATTAATTAATTAATTAATTTTATAGATATTGATTGCCATTTTTAAAGCTGCAGTCCGTAGCTTTTTTAAGTTAAAAATAATCCAAAATAATTATATTAAAAAAAACTTATTCTGCCAGTGGTCAAAACTATCTGCTTGTCATAGCTAGATTCAAAACGGTTAGCTTGTAATAATGATTTTAATTCCAGTGGTACTGGTGGGTTTCCGCGGGAGATTCGAGCATGTCTTTGCGTCATGACGTCACACCCGTACACATAAAGAAGGAGTTTCGGCTAGCCGGCTATACTGCGCGTGACGAGATGTTTAGATGTATAGGCTTTTCTCGCAGCACTTTACATGATTAAACTTATGGCATCCAGAAAGATCCAAACAACAATCATCAGTGTCAACTGGAGATTCAGCAGTTATAAAACCCAAAAGACTTCGTACTTCGGATTTAAGGTGGCTAGAGAAAGAGAAAGAAACCGTCTCATGCGAACACAAGGATTTAAACATCGGCGGGGCTTTTGAAAAGTGCGTGAACTCCGTGTTTTGAAGGGGTTCGAAACGGAAGAAGAGACGGCTTTTTTCTGCTGAACAAGTAAGACATTTCAATAGTTCAATCGTGTAACAGTACGTTTTCTTAATTCACACAGTTATGGAGTTTCCTTTGTTGTGCCTTTCTCGTTTTGCTATTATGGAGAATATGAATTCTGAACTACACAGGTAACCATAAAACACATTAAATTTAACATTAGTCACGCAATGCTGATGTGATGTTGTTAACATGAACAATTTGAGAACAAAGTAGGCTATAATTTGCACGGTTGCTGTAAATCGCGTTGATTAAATCTAACGAAGCTTATCATGTCGAATGCTTTTTCCCCCTTAGTTGGTCAGAACAAAAATGGATGTTACTTACTTGTTCAGAAGACATTTTCTTATGAAAATTCTTATGTTGGTCAAACTTTCAAAAAGTGAATCTGTGATTATGCCAGTATCCACACAGCGCGGTGACTGACAGCAGCACTCGCCTCAAAGCACTGTGTTCATCCGCGCTGTTTCATGCCGATTTACAACCCACGTAAAGATGATAATCCCGCGAATCACTGCAGTTACAGATTCCGAACAGAGAGATGGCGACAAAGAGGAAAAGCTACGGACTGCAGCTTTAAGGTAGATTTTACTATTTATATTTGAGTCTGATACTGTCTTGCCACTTCTGTTTATTTTTTCATTCTATATTTGAGACTGATAAAACGTTTTTTTAAGGTTGCTCTTAGCTTTGATGCTTTTATTTGTGTTTTATGTGTTGTTATGCAGGTATTATTTTCGTATTATTTATCTGGTTGTAGCACTTTGGTCAGCCTAGTGGCTGTTGTAAATGTGCTATATAAATAAAGTGAACTTGAATACCTCCAGTTCCTTCTCGTTGACTGCCGGTGGATCGCTGTCTCCATTGATGTATGTTGATGACTGCATTTCACCCAAGATGGAAATAAAAAAAACAATTAGCATTTACACAAAACAAATGCATCGGACGTCTTGAATCATTTGATTAATTAATCCTGAAATGGTTGATATTTGGGGTATTTACAAGTGTTAGATAAGAATTTAAACAGCTTCTATCATGCATCATGATATGTTTATTCTTTTATTTTTGTAACTCGCTCAATGCACGTAAATTAAAAAAAAAATTGTTGGTTCATTTGGGAGGAACCATTGGAGTTTAGTTACTAGAAGTTAAGATCAAATCAAATATAAATATTATGCATAAATATATAAATCAAAATATGAAAAATAGATAATTTACTATCTTAAAAAAATTGTACTGGCCTCAATGCAAATTACTCATCTGTGCATGTTAATCTAAAAAAAAAAAAAAAATGTTTCAATAAAATTTAAATACTTCAGAAATGACTTTTCTGCTGATGTAACCAAGCATGGGCAGGACAAATAACATCGCCCAATAACATCATAGCATCATAATCCACCCAAACACAGACTCACGTCAGACAGAAGTCCATTGAGCTGCTGGGAAAGCTGTCTCAGGCTCTCTGTGGACGACAGCGGCCTGCAAACACACACACACACACACACGAGTTCAACCTCACACAATTTAGTGTTACAATGAACTAAACATGCATTACAAACATACAGAATCAACAGTATTTCTGTCAGTGTACGAACTGACAGAATAAAGCAGCAAGCTACATGTTCCATGCAAATCTGAGGTTTTGTCTTTGGTTGGAGTCTACTTCTATTTCTGTATGTGTGTGTGTGTGTGTATATATAATTGCATGAATAGTTAATTGCCTTTTACCAGGGTTATTATAGTTAACTGAAACTAAAGCATTAAAAAAACTGCGTAAATAAAATAAAAACAAAGAAACACATTTGATTTCAGCTAGTTAAATTTCTCATTTTCATTTATTTAACTTGTTATAATAAATAACTAAAACTGAAATAAAAATGAATACAAACTATTTAGACATTTTTCTTTAAAAAACCAAAAACCAAAAAATTAACTTTATTAATTATAACAACAAAAATATAACAAAAATGTATGTAAACAGTGTAATACATGTAATTACACATTATGTAAACAACAAAAATTATTTAAATTTAATATTAAAAAAAATGAAAAAAATATCTAATGATAATTATAAAAAATTATAATACTCTCAATGATAGTAAAATAATACTGCCTTCAAAACTTTGAATCCAGGTTATTATAGTTAACTAAAACTATTAAAAAAAAACATTTTTGTTACTTATTACTACTGAAATAAATAAAATATAAAAAGCACTATTTCAGCCAGTTGTCCAGAAAACATTTATCATTTTAATTTAACTCGATGTACTAAAGTAACAAAAACTTTCAAATTAGTCAAAACTATAGGCATATTAAAAAAAATAGAAAATACTAAAATTAAAAACGAATTCAAATAGTTATTAAAACCTATAACAGTGACACTAAAATAACACTGTGAATCAAAGCTTGTTCTCTGTGTTGTGATTCGTCTCAGTGCTGGTTGGTTTGATTCAAGGCTTACAACTATTTACTGTAGATTTTTTTAAATGCATCTTTAGAAAATGAATGTGTAAATATCTCCAAAAACTGAGCGATCTATAAAATATTAGTGATGCACCGATGTGAAA